GCAGCGAAGCAGGGCGTTCGTGTCAGCTCGTGAAAACGCAATGCGTACTTCAGGGGCACTGCTTAAGGCATTGCTGAGCCGACACAGACAGCACCCACTGTCAGTACTACCCGCCACTCACCCAGATTGCAGTTTCTCAAGAGTAATATCGCAACATGAGAATATCATACCATCAAGGTTTTCCCCGCCAAAGGCCCCTGCAGTGCCTCCATGGTTCCTGCCTAAACCACCTGTTTGTTTTACGATATCTGGAATTACGAAGAAGTCGCTCATTTCTTCTGTTGGCCTCACTGACCCTATATCACATTTATACAACTTACAGTGATTCTCTGCACGTGTACACCGACGGATCCACCACGCTAAACATTGCTGTGGAGATTGATGTGAAAAACAATGGAATGGGTTGTAAATGAATCCTTGCGTAACGCACTCTAGTTTCGTGATTCGGTTGCAATATTTTCCAACGTGCGTAGCGTCTTAATGCCAGGAGCCTTGAATTCCTGTTCTTTTGCGTTACGCAGGCCATGGTGTGTCTTGCCGTCTCTCAATACCTCAGAAACATTGCTGTATTGTGACGATCATTTTTTTTTCGTTGTCTTAGTGGCAATAACAATGACACGGACTTTAGACATAAAAATTCTAACCCTGTGAAATTATATGATTAGAGCGTACACTGCAGAAACAGCTGTCGGCGCATCGCTTCGTCTGGCGTGGGTGCTTGTTTTTTTTTTTTTTTGTCAAATTGCGCATGAGTAACTTAGGCGTGATTCTGCAAGAAAGCGACGCTGTACTTACGCGAATTCTGTATTTGTCTTGGAAGCGCGTGCTGTCGGCGGCGCCATGGATTGCCAGCCGAGATGCTGTCTGACGGCTATCGAAACCAAGAGAGCCGCCAGCCTACCGATGAAACAACGCGTCCTCGAACTCACCGAGGCGCGCATTGAACTTCGCTTCCTGCCTTCTCCGCGAAGCTGACATCGGCGAATGCGACGAGGCTATGATTCACTTTGGCCGCTTGTTCTTCGTGGTGCGTGAAAGCAGATGTTACAGCCGCGGTATGTATAGAAATGTAAGGCGAGCTATATACTTCTCATCCGTCGGCAGGTGAAACAAGAAAAGCCGTCGTTTCTAAGAGAAACAAATAAGGGAAACCTTCTTTGTTTATTTTAAATTTCTTTCCTGCTCTCCCTATCTTTTTTTTCTTTTCAAGTTTTTTGTGTTTATATTTATTTCTATCATCAGGGCGCTCGAAGACTAAGAGGAAGAATACTTCTCTTTGGCGTGAGTGCGCACTCAAAGGGCTGTGCTGTATGCGTTGCGCCAAGCTGTGGCAGCATACACGGCGACGACAGCGTGGCCCCTTTTAAAGCAACAACAAGCTTTTTACGACGACAGCATCTTTTTGCAATGCGCGACGTCCACAGTCGATGGCATTCTTTTTCGCAACGACCTGTCTGTCCGCTGCCTCTAGAGAAAGAGAAATGATGTGCGGGAGTGGAGAGACTTGTGCTGGTGCATTCTCGAAGCACGGACGCGATTATCATAAGCGTATGTCGCCGTTGACTAGCGGAAAGTCTCTCTCTCTCTCATGGTCGTCTCTAGATAACGTCGCCACACGCTGCGCTAATCCGCGAAGAAGAGGTGACCCAGTTTGAAACGGCCGCCTCGTGAGTCACGACATCTGAGCGATGTGCGCCATGTTTTATTCTGTCTACTAGAGCGCCTCGCATTCGTGATGTGTTAGAGGAATGTGACATCAGAAAGTAGGAGACTAACCGTGGTGGACAACATAATCCGTTAGAGGGACGCAGAGAGCGAGGCTGATCAGTGTGTACTTCTCTAGCCGCAGATTAGCTCAATTGATACTTGAGTTTCTTGATCCTTGAGTCGAAGGCACACCTGCAGTTACTGTGCCATGTTTTAAGTACGGGCGGGGGGGGGGGGGGGGTGTTTAAATGAAAAGAAGAGAAACGTGGGCCCCGTAACTGTCTCTCAGGGGGAGGATACCTCAACAGTAGCTCACGAAGGGTGGGGGTAAAGGAGGGATTAAAAGGATAGGCTTAAAAGGTAAAGAGATAGAGAGAGAGCAAGGAGAGAGCGAGGCACAGGTACAGTGAACGACGGAAGTAAGGATAAGATAGGAAAGATGGACACGGTCGCAGGAGTCCGAGGACAGGGCACGTCTTTCTCCCTCCTTCACCGAACAACCACCTGGTCGGTGGTATGTGCCACTCTTTGGCGGGAAGTGTTTGATGACGTACGTGACTGTATTGTGGCATTATTCATGTCTTGATCGGTGCATCGTATTCGTCAAACACGTTTACCCTACCATACTAATTTTGGTTCACGCCAAGTTAAGGGGATTATCACGAGAGCACCTGGAGGTAAGCGGATAGATAGATTGATAGATGTATACTCATGTAGATACACAGATAGATGATAACGGTGCTTGCAGTTCGCAAAAAAAAAAAATGCTTCGCACTTATAAAGCAACAGCTGACGTTGTTTCTGTCACAGTCTGTGCGCATTATGCACGAATAAGAGAACAAAGCGGATATCAGGCTCTCTGAGATGGTACATCGCTAGGATCACTTGACTGTGTGCACAACTCAGTCCCTCTAGGATCATAACTGATCATATGTGCCACAGAAGTCACAAGAAATTGCTCAGTATTTAATTAAAAGTGCTGTGATGTTGGCATTTGGTACGTCAGTAAAAGGAATGGGAAAGAAACATGTTCCTTTCTTCGTTTTTTTTTTTTGGTTATATGAAAAATGCGCTTCCTGTTTGCTAGCATACATGTATGCTCCCAACTCAGAATTTCACTCTCACATAACAAAATGGTCTTTCTGTGCATTCGACCTATAGAATGAAATAAGATATTCAAATTGACTCTAAAAGTGAGTTACATGAGAGCTTCAAGTATGCTGATGTATATAGGGCAAAAGGCTAGCACAAACGAGCGCTGACTACTGCAGTAGGACAGCGACTGTAGCATTCGAAATTTGATGTTCGATTGGCAAATGCATGTCGGCCACCCGTTCTCTGACGTATGCATAATGTTTGTCTCCTTTTTTGACATACCAACTATAGGCCCCCCAATGCACGCTCCACGAGTGTCTGTTTCTTGGGGCTCATCTTGGATGACCGTGATGAAAAGCTATGTACAATGTATTGGAATCATCTCTATACAGTGGCTTCGTGCAATCAAACGAATTGCATGCAAGCGCTGGGACATCCACGCAGAGTCATTGCTCGCAAGGCACAGTGCCCTATTGACGAGGTATTTTAGAGTGACCTGTGTCAATGAGATATTCAATTCGGACGTTCAGGGATTCCGTCACTACATTTCTTCCGCAGTGCGTGTTCACAATTTGCATGACGAGGAAATTGACCGAGCCATGCATGCGCTTTAATCGTGCGCGATTAAGAAGGACCGACCGTCAGAGAGGGACTGTAGGCAACGCGGAATATTCGTCCTTCCTTTTCATGCAGGCACGGCAGCCGTACACTTTGCCGTTGCAGGCGGGAAACTCTTGGCAGCCACGCGCGGGTTCCATTGTGGGAACGCTATAAGGCGGTGGCCGCGCATCACAATGACGCTCTTTGTTCCGGACGTCCGGAACAAATGTGGTCTCGCAGCATTGTTCCGCCGTCGTCGGATGGATGACGAATATAAAGAGCCATCAGTCATTGTCTGTCCTTCGGATCGAGTTTTCGCATACGATGGGGGAGGATCGCCTTCTATATAGTTGCACGACACACGAGACCTCACGAAGCGCCTATAGACGGACAAGAACGCGTTCTTAGGGGATGGAGTACTGGACGTGACGTCCACGAAGGTCCCGAAATAATTGGACTGCGTAGTATAATGTTCTTGTAACCCACGCAAATGTTGCAAACTATTGTCCTCTGTGTGATATGATGTCAGAGAGTCAGATTGAAACAGTATGCATGATGTTTATGGTGATGGCGACAACTAGTCACCTAACCTGCTTTATGTATTCGGTTTTGTAACGTTTAGCATTTCTTATTTATGTCTTCATTTTGGTTCTCCATTTCTATACTGATGATGATGATATGTGGGGTTTAACGTCCCAAAACCGCCATATGATTATGAGAGACGCCGTAGTGGAGGGCTCCGGAAATTTCGACCACCTGGGGTTCTTTAACGTGCACCCAAATCTGAGCACACGGGCCTACAACATCTCCGCCGCCATCGGAAATGCAGCCGCCGCAGCCGGGATTCGATCCCGCGACCTGCGCGTCAGCAGCCGAGTACCTTAGCCACTAAACCACCGCGGCGGGGCCATTTCTATACTGCACTGTATGCATATAACGACGCTAGTTCCGCCAGCTTCATCCATCAGTGTTACCGTCCTTGAAAGGACGGTAAACGTCCTTTTAAGCGTAGAAGGCTGTGGAGTAGGGAAGCGAGAAGAAGACTCTTCCATATAACGCAGTTAAAGACCCCTTACGGCTCCATATTCTATCTTCTGGCCAGTCGGCGCTTACATCGGCTTTAAAAGAATGTCGACAAGAATTCTAAATATTTTCGGGTAACTTGTTGCTCTAAACACACACGCGCACTCACGCGTGCGCGCACGGACAGACAAATAGTCGTTGGCGATTTTGAACGTGCTGAACACAACAGTGAGCACAATGTATGAGCTCAGATTGAGCTGACAGTAGCGATTTCGAGTGTACGGGCTTGGTCTAACTATGCAGTAGTTACTTGAAATATAAGAAATGTTAAAAGTGTTTTTGAAATTTCTTGTGTAATTTTTCTTGTGCGAGGCACGGTTGAGGCCTCTCTTCCGTGACTATTTTCCGTCTCTTTCGTAGTAGCAAGCTGCCTCTCCTATGCATGATTGACACTCTCTTTCTGATATTTTTCCGCGCAGTAAAATAAACTCATTGAAGAGAGCTTGCTTTTAATGAACAGCTTAAGTTGTGACCTTGGCATCGTGCTGACTGCAGTCTCGTCTCTCTGTTTTCAGAAGTGGAAGCCGTCCACGCTTGCGAATGGCTGCGGCAGGCGGGATTCCCCCAATACGTGCAGATGTACGAAGGTAAGCTGTGTGCACCTTTGAAATGTAAGTGGAGCTGGAAAAAGCGCGTGCTTCGCATGCACACGCGTGCTTCACTCAGACTGAAAGGCAAAGGATGTGTCTACAGAGTGTTTCAAAAAGATCTTTTAAAGATGCAATATGTCCGAGCTGCATTTATAACTATTTATTTCTGGGACTGCAGATATATCTATATAAAGAGATGTATCTGTTACCGTAAAATCAAAGGGATTAATTAAATTAGCTTTTCAATCAGCTCTTGCGGTGGTTTCGTTGGCATGGCATGTTGCAAAACTGGTATGGTATGGCATGATTGCGTGGCAAACATAAGCGGCAGACCCTAACATGAAAATCATGACATGCGTGCCATGTAACTACATGACTACATGCTACGCTCATGATGCGCTCGCGGCCGTTTCGCTAGCTTCACATATGTCAAAATTGGTATTACGTGACGTGAATGGACGCCGAAGGTAAATGACACGTCCAGACATGATCATCATGACATGGAAGTCATGTACGGCACAATTCGTTGTGCTGATCTCCAAGTGACATATCACCTTTGCTCATTCGTGCTTTGCATATCATCGATTCCTACAGTACGCGGGATCTGCCAATTTTCATCTCTTTCAATCATCAACCACCAATGAAGTGTTGTAGATAGAATAGATGTTTTTTTGTTTTTTTTTTTGCTAGCCCAACTTGTTGTCGCCCGAGAACATGACCACCTGTACAAAGAGGAGGAGATCATTGCCTTCAGTTAAATTGTTCTGTGCCTTTTTACAAGTATAATATGTGGGCGTTCGGACGGTACGTTTACTATATACGTTGTATACGTTGGTGTTTGCAAAGCACTGCGGTGTTCCGTTTGTTAAAAGAAAGATAAAGATGCAGTTGCTTTAGTTTTCGAATTGGAAGTCTAACTACATATGCTATTGTGTAACGCCTGTAGGTGGTATTCCTACTGCAACTCATACAGCATGGTTAATTATATATACCGACGCGCACATTGTCGTTAGACTCCCTGCATGTTGCGAGTTTACAGTCGAAAAAAGAAATTGTTGTCCTTTGAATGGTTTATGTTTGGCTGAAATATAATTCGTGCTCCATATTCTGTTTGCTCGCAGCTAATCGATTGAACATCCTAATTAAAACCTTAAGGCGGTCTCGCAGCGAAAGCTTGCACTAGGCGTAAGAACTCTCGTTTTAGGAAACTTGAAACGAGTAAATTATGCGCTACCTCATTAATCTAACACGCTTGTGTCTGTTTGTCGTAGATGAAAAAAAAAAGAAGAGAGAGAGAGAGTGCCTTGGCAGGATTACCTCCGCATGTAGGTTGGAGAAAACCGGCGCGTATACACTGTAGCTGCCTTCGCCGTATATAGCTGTATGGACGATGGTGTTGGAGATACATGGTAAAAAAATAAAATGAAAGCCTGTATAGCGGCAGCTTCTATCGCCCGCGTCCCGCTAATTGCTTGCAACGAGTTCAATCTGCTGTGCAAAAATGAGGCACGCGCTTGAAGGTTCCCAACCAGCGCTGTGGAGATATGGATGCAAAACTACTGTATGCGTTTAATTAATGAAGGACGCTGTCTCTTTCATCAAAAATTAATCCTGTGAGCACGAAATAATGAAGAAGTACAAGTGTCCGTTATACCTACTCTTTTAATGACATAACGATAGTTATAGCGCGAGAACAAAACGTCTCTTTGTCGTCGTCCTTCTGTTTTCGCGCTATAACTATCGTCATGTCATACCAACTAGCCCAGTCTGCCACACTCTTTTAATGAATTACATAAAAAACAGCGCCAATAACGAGGGACAAGAAGGAGACAGACAGAGGCACTGACTTACAACAAGATTTATTTGCTGGAACTGCGCAATATATACTTGAGCAGTATCTGACAAAAAGAGAAAAGACATCAAAGAAAACAGAATTCACCTAACCGAGTAATCATTGTGATAACTCGCCATGAACAACACGAGTATCAATGTTCTGAATATATTGCGCGGTTCCAGCAAATAATTCTTGTTTATTTATTTATTTATTTATTAGAATACCCTCAGGGCCCGTAGGGCATTACAGAGGGGGTGGGTACAACATATATAACACACAAAAAAAAGACAAAATAAAGAAACAAGTATCAGATGCGCAAATCAGGAAGGCAACATAAGTCAACTAAAAATGTATAAGAATTCAAGCACATACAAGACAAAGATAGATAATGGAAACTGCGTATAGTTACAAGCATTGCTGAGAAATTGCAGTCTTGAATAACAAAGGGTCTGTTATTGATACAACGGAAGAGGGAAGGTGGTTCCAATCGGCGGCTGTTTTCGGTAAGAAGGCTGCTGAAAAGAATTTGGTGCGGCAAAACGGAATGGCAACCTTATGCTGATGATCAATGCGCGATGAGTGGTATGACGGTTGTGAAATGAGGTCTCGCTTCATTGATGGATTGTGAAAAAATATCTTATGAAAAAAATGCAGTCGCGCCAGTTTCCTCCGGACAGTTAAATTGGGTAGGTCAAGGTTAGATTTCATTTCTGATATGCTAGCAGTACGGGAATAATTAGAACAAATGAACCGAACTGAGCGGTTCTGAACAGATTCTAACGCGTTAATTAAATTTTGCTGCACGGGATCCCATATAGCGGACGCGTACTCAAGCTTTGGGCGAATTAGTGATCGGTATAATAGAATTTTGAGGGACAGCGGAGCGCGAGAAAGGTTGCGGCGTAAGTATACCCTAGCGTTCGGTTAGCGTTATTACAGATGTAGGTAACATGCGTGTGCCAAGATAGATTGTTGGTAATGTAAACGCCGAGGTACTTATATGAAGAGACATGCTGGAGGGGAACGTCGTTAATTCTGTAGGTACAGGGGGGAGAAATAGATCGCCGGGTTATTGACATGCATTCAGATTTGTTAGAGTTGAGAGTCATAAGCCATTTATTGCACCAGGTTGAGACAGTGTCAAGGTCTGACTGTAGAAATTGGTTATCATATTCATTGTTTATTTCGCGGTAAATTACACAATCATCTGCAAATAACCTTATAGCGGAGTTAATGCTGTCTGGGAGATCATTAATATATATAAGAAAAAGTAAAGGGCCTAATACGGAACCTTGGGGTACGCCGGATGTTACTTTAGAAAGAGGTGAGTTATAGCCATTAGTTGTTACAAACTGAGTGCGATTAGTCAGAAAGCATTCAATCCATTTAAGAATGTTCGGGTCAATGTTTAAGGCACTAATTTTCAGGAGGAGTAATTGGTGAGGTACTTTATCGAAAGCTTTTTGAAAGTCAAGAAAAATGCAATGCACAAGTGAGCCGCGATCTAAAGCCGATGCTATGTCATTAGTAAAATAAAGAAGTTGGGTTTCACATGAGTAACTTTTTCGGAATCCGTGCTGGTAGGGAGTAAAAAAAGAAGTTGTTGTAAGTCAGCGCCGCAATTTGTCTCCTTCTTTTCATATCCCTCGTTATTGGCGTTGTTTTTTATGTAAATCATGTCGTACCAACTCGCCCAAGCAACCACGTTAGCTCTTTTAAGGACATTTGTTTTTATTGCGATAGCAGTTACGCGGACACTTGAGGCGCACTTCTGTCGTCGCGGTGAAGTTAACCCGCCCGAGGCATGCGGAATCGAGCCACCGATCTTTAGCTCCGTGGCGAGGCGCCTCCTGTGCACAATTCGCCTCTTCCATGATGCCCGGACTAGTCACTGTATATCCCCATACGGGGGCAGAGTTGCGCATAGGTCCGCCATTATGTTCGACGGCTGTGCAGTGAAGCCACTCGTCACGCGCGCAGGAGAAAAATACGGCGCAATGTACCGGCGCGGGCGGCGTGCCGCAGACTTCTTCGCGCACGACGAGTAAGATTGCACTGTTGCAGTGACGCGGTATATTCTATAGGTTGCGAAAATCCTTGAGGTCTGTGTGCTTTGAAGTGTGGCAGTTTGGGCTAGTTGGTATGACAGGACGATATAGTTATAGCGCCAGAACAGAACGACCACAAGGAACAGAACGACGCGTCCCCTTCTTGCCCCTTTGTCGTCGTTCTGTTCTCGCGCTGTAACTATCGCCGTGTGCTTAGATTTAGGTGCACGTTAGAAACCCCAGGTGGTCGAAATTTTCGAAGCCATCCACTACGGCGTCTCTCATTATGTGGTTTTGGGACGTTCAACTAAACGATTGATTAAATGAGGTGAAAATGATTGAAAAGGCAACTCATTCGAAATTACACCAAACGTACGATGCACAATGTTTCTGCAATAATAATTTTGTGATTGCCCGGTTAATTTTGATCTCGCTAGGTGAGGCCACCTATCCAGTCTCTCGGGGGCTAACACGTTTGCTGCTTCTATGTACTGCTTTGGTAATCCGGCCGAAACGATGTAATCGCTATTGGCGCTCGCACTTCGACATATTTTGACTGGATGTCTGGAGCCGCAGCAGTGCGCGGATCGCGAGTTCCTACGAACTAAGGTAGATTTGCGAGATAGCGCCGCAAACGTAAAGCCTATCCGGCGGGTAGTTTACGTTGCGTAAAGGTTTACGTACTGTAAAGACCCGCATATGCGGAGATTCTATCCGGTAACGTAAACAAGTATACGTATACAAGCTAAAAGTCCCTAATGGCGGTCACTATGAGACTGAAGTCTGCGCAAGCAGGCTTCAGTCTCATAGTGTCTAGTGTCTCATAGTCTCATGTGTATGATATATGTGTTCGCGTTCCAAGCGAGTGCCGGCACAAATGTTAAAATTCGCTTGTTCGAAAGCTAGCAACGTCGGATTGCATATTTCGTGGCCAGGCTTGGTTGTTTTGCTGTAAATTCTCGCACACATGCCGCCAGTGTTCTGTGGCATTGAATATGATACACTGGCATGGTAGAACACTGCGGGTCTTACGTCATGTGCAAACCGACCTAAAATGGGAGCGGCTTGTCATCTGGGGTATTCGGTTGACCGCTCTGTTCCTCTGGCTCCGAGTCGCCAGATGCAGAGCCAGCTCGTAATCGGAGCGCGAGAGGCAGCGTACCAACCGAATACATCGGCGATCTCAGAGCGCTTAGAGTAGCTAAGAGCAGGTAAAGCCCCTTGATCAAGGGGCTTTAGGAGCAGCGCGCCGTAGCGTCACCGTGCAACCAGCGCGGGAAGATGCCGGGTAAACATTGCCGCGCCACGTCAACAAATGTTGCCGATCAGTTCAGTGGACATCACTGACATGTCTGGTCTTTCTTATACTCTCTCTCTCTCTCTCTGACATGTCTGGGCATAGCGAAAGCTTTCTGAGCTGTGCACATAAATCTGGCGATCGTCCTCGTCCGAACTGCAATCTTCAAGGCAGGCTGTCTGCGAGCTGCTGTAACGGCAGCATTGACGTTTCCTTCGCCTTCGCTAGCCGCCTCGTTATTGACATGGTGCATTTATGACTTTGTAGCTGTGAATTTTTTCCCCTACGCGCGCAAAAACGCCATTAACAACGCACGTGCACGAACTATTACGCGCCCGACGAGGCCCTCTTCCCAAATGCACGCTCGCGCTCTTCACCTCACCTCGTTCACCCGCCGGCAGCCACGTGATTTGCCGGCTTGTGTCACGTGATCCGTCCTCTCGGTCAGATCGCGTCACGCTCCCCTTTCCCCCGAAAAGTCAGAGTGGTCGGCAGCGCTCCGAGTCAGAGGCCGACGCTCTGAAAGAGCCAACCGAAGGTAGCCAGAGTGCTCAAATGCTACCAACCTAAGGCGCTGCCACTTTTCAGAGCACTCTAGAGCGCTCGAAAAGGCCCAACCGAATACGCCAATCATCATTACTATTTTCTCCGTGGCATCGAGTTTTCTTCTCTCTCACTTGCTCACTTAACAAGCTCGTGCTTAGTAAAATTCGCATTAAGTTGCTATTATGACCGCGTGTAATATCCAAGTGCGTTATTAACGCATTTATGCTTTGCTCTTCCGACGAAACTGACTTTTTTTTCCTCCAGACAACAACTTTCCTGTCGAGATAACGACCGTTCTTCGAGACCACCCGAGCTTGGATCCGGATGAGTTGCAGTCTCTCTTCAGGTGAGCTTCGCTTGAAATAACAAATGCTTTGCCTGATATGTGATTGTCGCGTTTCATGGTCAGAAGCCTAAGGGAATATATACTTTGGATGTGGTATTAGTATTCGGAGGTGCACAAGCGAGTAGACAACACGCGTTCCTGGTGCCTTGTTATATAATTATTTAATTGTTATTTTATTGTCCTTCTTATGTACCTAGAAAAATAGCAAGGGCATCCCTTGAAGACCGTTATATATACAGGGTGTTTTTTAAATCAATACAGATTTCTTTAATAACGGTTAGGCACTTGCAATCTTTGCATGTGGTTTCTAGGCAGAGGGGCAAAAAATTTTGTCATCATCATCATCAGCCTGACTATGCCAACTGCAGGACAAAGGCTTCTCCCATTCTGCTGGTCAACTCGGTCCTCTGCTTGTCCTTGCCAACAGCAAACTTCCTAATCTAATCTGCCCACCTAACTTTCTGTCTCCCTCTCACCAGCTTGCCTTCTCGTGGAATCCAGTCTGTGGTCCCCAATGACCAGCGGTTATCTTGCCTTCGCGCTACTGCCCTGCCCATGACCATTTCTTCTTAATGTCGACTGTGATGTCCTTGACACCCGTTTCTTTCCAAGGGACAGAATGCCAATCAAGAAGGTTGTAAGACGAGGGGATACGATCTCCCCAGTGCTATTTACCGTGTGCTTACAGGAGGTTTTAAAAGGCCTATAATGGGAAGAGGTAGGGATAGTTAATGGAGAGCACCTTAGTAACCTGCGCTTCGCCGATGACATTGCATTGCTGACTAACTCAAGAGACGAATTGCAATTCATGATCACTGAATCAGATAAGGAGAGTCGAAAGGTGGGTTTTAAAATTAATCTACAGAAAACTAAAGTAATGTATAACAACCTCGGAAGAGAACAGTGCCTCGAGGTCGGTAGCAGCGCACTTGAAGTTGTAAAAGGTTACGTCTAGGACAGTAGTAACAGTGGAGCCGAACCACGCGATTGAAGTAACTAGAATAATAATAATAATAATAGGGTGGAGCACAATCGGCAAGCATTCTCAAATTATGAATGATAGATTGCCACTACACCTCAAGAGGAAGGTATATAACAGCCGCATCTTACCGGTACTTACGTATACGGAGCGGAAACCTTGGCGATTACAAAGAGGGACGCGCGAATTTCGCTTTGCGTAATTCGAATGATGGCGCGTCGCGCGAGATTTCGCCACGCAAGCTCACTAGCGCCAGATTTCCCTCTATGAGCGGAGTGTGCTCTCTTAAGTTTTTCTTTCTCTATGATAATACTCTATAGATGCGCCATCGGTATTTATTGGCCGTTTTCGTATGCTCATTATTAGCTCATACTTTTGCTTCAAGATATATGAACACATATATATTGCATATATTGATTTATTCGTTTCGTAGCTCGTTATATCGGTGAGCAACGCCGAAAGGGGCGTTGTGCGTTTAACGAGCGCTTATCGCGTGATACGCAGATAGCTGTTCGATAATGCCCGGCGCGAATGTACAAACAGTGTTGACGTGCGTTTTCGCTCATCAAACGCGGCCGCCTTCCGGTGTGCTATATTTTGCGATCGTCATGCAGGCCACGGCGCGAATAGCGGCCTCGTGCGCAAGTAAAAGGACGCTCGAAGAAAGGGAGGTAAACGCTAATGTAAACGCACTAGAAAGTTTCAGCGTGACTCATTAAACGTGTATGCACGATTTCGAGGGTCGCGCGTTTGAGCCGGAACTAGTTTGTCTTGTTTTGTTACGCCCTTTTATTTATATGGTAGAATTTTGCTGTTTCGCGATGTTTCGTTATGTTGTAAAAGTAAATTGGCTCTAAGTGAATGCTGTCATCAGCCGGAAATGATTCGTAGCACGCAAGCAAATCGCACGGGGTACTTCTGGTTACGGCATCACGCAAGAAGCTGTTGTTTCTTCTTTGCTTTAGTGTGAAATCTGAAGGAAAAAAAAAACTGACAAGGATGATTTTATTCATTTATTGTTTGCTCTCTTTTTTTCTCTTGTGTTGGCCCGCTTTCTTTTCGCTTTGATCCCTGTGCTTCGTCTTCATTTTTACCGCGCCGTTCCCATACAAGACGGTCAACCGAACCATCTCGCCAACAATTTATAAACTCATTTTGACAAGCGTTCGAGTTTGTTCCGTGGTGGCGTATACTCCGCAGTTTACATTATCTGCCTAAAAAAAACTGCGAAAGGAGAAGGTGCTTCTGTAAACGAGAAGTCCGACAGACAAAAATGTATTTCATTATTGATATAATGCAAACTGAAAAAAGGAAACGATTGCGCTTCAGACATCCATAAAACCTATGCATGATGAGCGTATGGGGACGAACTGTTTTCAGAGACAAACAAAGATGGAGCCATATGAGTCAAATGACTCTAATGAAAAAAAAAAAAAAAAAACGTGGCTGATCCCGCTATATAGGAATCGATATAATGCGACTGTGAAACGTGTCTTTACAGAGGTAGTTGAGCGTTTGTTGTACATTGTTTCAGCAACAAATTGCAAAGTCACGTAAGGAACGGCAAACAGCTCGAAACTTGCAGCGCACACCTCAAGCAGAAAGTACGCACGAAATTGGCATACGCAGGACGAGCGCGGACTAACAACTGCCACCGTTCGACACTTGAAGCGCGCTCTTCAAACCGAATGGCGCGCGAAACGAGCGCACCAGAATACACAGGACAAGCGTTAAAAACTGTCACAGTTCATCCGGCGTAGTGTGTCAGCAGCGCGCTTCTTCCATAAACGCGGCCGTGACGGCTGCAAAAGTGACCTTCGTCCTCTCCCGAATTTCGAGTCTGATAAGCGCGCGCGCAGGAAAGACCGGGCCCCGTGGAGGCGGCGCCTCGTGGAGGGAACGGCCTTCAGAGCAGAGCCCAACGCCAGTTTGTCATGCGATCTCGCCACTGATAACTAAAACGCGCTACAGTTTCGAAGCTATGAGGACCGCCAAACGGTGTGCGGTGTAGATAAATTACTTGCCGTTAGCAGTCCAGACAGCGTATACGCTCTGGGGCGTAGTGGATAGCGCCGCACGCTGCGAATCGAGAAGTCGCTGGTTCGATTCCGCGCGACAGATGTTTGTCTAGTATATATGTTGGACCTCATGGTCATGGAGAAGGGTAATGAGCGGTTAAAGGCGTTTCGCAATGTGTTTATCACAGTGGTTGCTCTGGAACGACAGACGGTCATAGATGTCGCAGCCGAAGCGGAAGTGCCGCTGGAGAACCTTCCGCCGAAAGCGCCCCCGCAGTCGTCACGTTGACGCTGCCGTGCCCGCAACGGAGCTTTTTCGGTGCGGCGTTGTTTCTAGCGTGCGGCATCGCGAGTTAACTCGGCGGCGTGACTTGCAGGATCCACAAGCCTCTGGCGCTTGCATTTCCAATTTAGCGCTGTTTAAAAGGCTGCCAGATCGTCGGTACGCAGATCCTGCTGCACTCGGCCTTCCGGGCCTGTTTTTGAGCCCGGACTGCAACATCGAAATGCGATCGAGCTCTTTCCCGTTTCCACTGTCTGCGCTATTCGAGAGTCGTCTGTGGCTGAACCACGTGAAAGTTCTCAGTAGAAACTGATGCGCGCGTGCTCGGCGCCCTGGCTGCCACGGGATGATCGACGTCACTCACAACTCAGTCAATGGTGCGCGTGCTTGGGTATGACGCTGAGAATGACGTAACTGATAGTACAGCCAATGGAAACCGCTCGTGACACCGATGCCGAACAGTTTTCGTTTCTCCTAGCCATATACAGCTATCACTTGTCGCGAGAGCAAGGTTTCCAGCTCCAGTATCTTCTCAGGAAATTTGTGCAAAACCAACTCCTGCTTCTTTTTTAAGTCTTTCTTTGTACTCTTCTACCTTTGGGTTTGTTTCTCTGGCCATTACAGAGCTTCGGTTTTTGACTTTAATGGAATGTGGGATAAATCGTGTTTTCCAGCCTGGGACAGGCGCCTACACGCTGCGTTTACGGCTTACCAACGGAGCAGTCAAGGTCGCCCCCGTTCGGGATTAGAAGGGGAAAGCTTACTAGGAAAAGCGTCTAGCGAGAGGCAGGTCCGGCGCCACCGTCCGAGTCTAAGCCATTGTTAACAGGCACGCGTGTCATTGAGAATGACATGGGGACGCGACCACTTAGCCTGACCGAGACATAGTGGCGGCAGGTAAACGACCATATTCGCTCGCGCTGTTGTTAGGATGTCGGGGCGCCTCGCTGTCGCATGTGCACCTGGTAAGCAATGGTGTACTCATCGCTCTTAAGGACGCTTCTAGAAAGCAACAGTTAATGAAAGAACTTACGGGGCCCGAGCGTGGGAACGGCCGCCGACGGTAGTCGACCGAAGGAAGCAGCACGGCCTGGTATGGGAGAGAGTGTCACGTGCGGAGGACCTTTCCCTTTGCGTGTTTCATTTTGGTAAGGAGGTTTTTTACAAATGTAGTGCCTTTTATGAAAGTGTTTCTGTGATTGGTTGAGATGTTGCGAGTCCGAACATGTGATTGGTTTTTGTGAAGACTCTTTGTTCGACCAAGGGTTAAAAAGAGGATGTTTGAACTTGAAAAGTGAGCGGAGCGGAGTCGGGGTCAACGGCGGATCTCACCACCGGAGACCAGCTATGCGGGCCGAGGGGTATGCCACCATTTTCTATGTTTTGTCTTTGTAACCCAGTGCATTTTGTAACTTGAAGTTGTGTTAGCTAAATAAACCCCCAATGAGTGCTCCCCGAATTCATCGTGTTGACTTCTCATCGATTGCCTCCGCGGAGTTTCAACCACACTTATTCGTCTCCCTGGTCGTCCGATGCGCCTAACTTGAACAACCCCGACGTTTCGCTACACACTGTTAAAAAAAAAAAAAAAAAAAAAACTTTATTTGCGCACAATGCGGATCTTGCAAATGGCCGGGAGCTTTTCCCGGACTCCGCTGGCCCTTGTCATCATCTCTGCCCATTGGACCAGCTGGACAGAAATGTCTCCCATTGTTCCTATGTGTTGTTCATATTGTGGTATTCTATATTGTAAAGTGTTCACTCGCACGAAACGTGAAACAGAGGTGGTGCGGTCTCATACCACGGACATATATCTCTGTGTATGTGTGTGTGTGTGTGTGTGTGTGTGTGTGTGTGTGTGTGTGTGTGTGTGTGTGTGTGTGTGTGTGTGTGTGTGCGTGCGCGTGTGCAAGCACTTGTTCCATCTTATCCAAACGATATCTTTGCACTAGGATTGCTAAGTTCCCATACGCATCTTGAATTGTGTGTTTTTCTTACGACGTCCTTTCACGTGTTGTTTTTGTTAATGCAGGAGGCTGAACACGCTCAACAAAAGTGCCCGGTTGAAGAGCGACGGGCTAGTAAAGCAGTCGGTAAGATGATTTCTCTCTGGATTCTCCGTCGGTTATAAACCCGCATTGATGCAGTGGCTTCGAAAACTTCACCTCGAAATGCGGATGTCAGTGACATCTGCTATGAATTCAATGCTCTCAAAGGATTCGAGGCTGCACTTGTTCTTGTTATATAACCTCATTAGATTGCTTCAACGTACCCTTGTCGCGGCACAGATGTTCTTTTGCCTCGCCCCTAGCAAATATATATATGTAGACATTCCAACAAGTAAGAAATGCATTTCTGATTTGTTGGAATGTCGAGCTAAATTAAATATAGGAGGGAAAAGTGCTTATGTACAAAGTGTGTCCATTCCTTCGACTGGCTGAATATATATATATATATATATATATATATATATACACACACACAAAAAGTGATGCTGGGTCCGGGTAAGATTAACCGTAGGGAAAAAGACGCACGCACTTCGTACGTGCGTGCGTCTGTATACGGATGTATATATATATATATATATATATATATATTGTGCACGCAGCAGAGTGTATTGCAGTTTTCAGAAGGTCATTACACTCCACCGACGCATATAATAAGAGACGACGATATTGCACGTAGAGAAGTTTGCTTGGTTTTGTTTTTCTCCTCTGTAGAGTCACGTTCTTGGGAGCAGATGCTAGTGTCAGGTATTGCAAGACACGCTTGGTTAGGGAGTTATGGAATCGTGCTGCTTTACCTTCACGTATTGAGGAAGTCCTGCGCTCCTATGTCCATGCTGTAAGAATCTGGACGTCATCCTACTAAGCAGGTTAAGAACCACTATGTAGTCATTATTAGAAAGGGGCAAAACCGTGTCAATACAATACAATTTGTGCAGGCGAGGTTATGATAGTGTTCATTATACTTGAGAGCGTTCGCTTCAGAGCGTTTTATTAAAGCCTAGAGAAGTATTGTTGTTATTATCATAATGTTGTTATATCACTATTTTTTTCAGAGTTGTGTCGGTCTTATAGTGGAATCGGGAACAAACTAAGGTACTGCAGATAACTATACGACACTGAAGCTGTGAGATGATAAAAAGAAGAAAAAAAGACTGACTTTGCAGCTTAGTCAGAACATTCTGTCCTACACAACTCAGTCATTGGTGCGGTTGGTATCCATGGACATGTTTGCTCTTGAAAACATTTAGCCATTCCTAATTCATTTTCTTAGGCATTGTTAAAGAAGGGCTTGTGTCTTACGCACTGTTTTACGGTACTGCCACATTCCTTTCTCAAGTTTTCTAACCGCCCCATTACACTGTCAGTAATTCTCTGCGCAAACCGTGCCTGCAGTGTTCAAGAAACTTAAGGACTGTAGTAGATTATTTTGTTAAGATTAGACCCACATCACGAACCAACGTTACTTCGCGAACATTACAGGTTATTTTGGAACCTACTCGGCCACTAGCAATAACATCATAAAATATTCCACGGCACGTGTATAAATGCCAACGTGCTTCACCGCTTGTCAGTTGATCGACGGCCGACACTCTGTTTGCCACTATCAGTGCCAGTGGGCATCGCTGTAATATGACTTTCAGTTTGCGGACCACAAATTCGGCCACAAAAACAGTTTCATTTTGTAATTATAGTCTGCTTCCTTCGTCCTCGTCATGATCCCGTGACAATATGAAGCCTCGAAGGAAAGTATACGTAGGCCTCTACTGCAGCACAGTGCTTAGCTGCCCTGTCTTCCTTAATAAATTACAGCATTTGATTGATTTATATGTAGGGTTTAATGTGCGAAAACCACCATATGATGATGAGATATATAGTAGTGGAGGGCTCCGGAAAGTTCGGCCACCTGGGGATCTTTAATGTGCAACCAAATCTGAGCACATGGGCGTACAGCATTTTCGCCTCCATCGAAAATGCAGCTGCGATACGATCCCGCGACCTGCGGGTCAGCAGCTGAGTGCCTTATCCACTATACCACCGTGGTGGGGCAATAAATCACAGAAACTTGGCGAGATCTACGTAGTTCACTGAACAGACCTTAAGAAATGAATGGCTAATTAACGTTTGTACCAGTGCAAATTAAGTCAGCCATGAGCCTTGAAATTAATTCTTATTTGGTATTATATTATCACTTTAATCCGACTGCGCTGAGTGATATATAATATATATATAAATCATGATAATATCTTACTATATTTTGTTGATTCAGCGATTAATAAAAATTTACTTGAGTGGACAAACGTATGAAAACATTTAAAAGTTTCAACGTTTCGGCTGGACGCTGTGGTAATCCCGTCTGGAGCCCTTTGAACCTTGTGGGCTGTTCGTTACGGTGGAGCAGTGGTTAGGGTGCTTAGCTGCTTATATGAAAGCCGCAGGTTCGATCCTGGCCGCGGAGGCCGTATTTCGATAGACGTGAAATGGTAGAGGCCCATTTACTGTGCGCCGTCAACTCACTTTGAAAAACACTATACGATCAAGTTTTGCAGAGCCCTCCGCTGCGCCGTCTCTTATAATTAAATATTTCATAGTTCTGAGACATAGAACCTCTTATATCATCATTATTAAACCTTGCACGCTTAAGCCTTCTGATAAAAACAAAAAACACTTGATAAATGTTCGCTTGTTGAAATGCAGCATTTTGCGAACCATCGACGGCTAGGAAAACATCTAGGATATTCGTCCAAGCACAGATCATCGCTGTCTTATAACTATCGTTTTCGTAACTTACGGCGTGTAGCATATGTGAGAGCGGGTAATTGTGTGCTCTCCTTTATAGTGCGTACTTGCAATGGCTTCATCTCGAACTCTCACCCCAAAACAAAAGAAAATGACTCAAAGACATTAACAGACGCTTGAGCAATTAAATAAATAAGCATGCATGCAACAAAAATGTCACAGTTTTGTCACAAGGTCGAGCAGCTAGTGAATGCGACAGCAATAAATTGCCAAGTTACATGAAGCAATGCTAACAGATAAGTTCTTTGGATCCGACCTGGCTTAACTCTGCAAAACGCTGGCGTAAGGGAAGGTGGTCATTATAGGGAGCGAAGCGGTTTTGGCACTGTCATTAGATCAATATGAAGAAAAGGGTCAGAGCGCTGCATGCAAAAAGGTGCGGGCCGTCTGATGATTCGCGCTAGAAATGTAATAGCGGAATCACTTGAGCACTGTTGATCGCGATCAAGGGTGATCCGCATCAGACTTCTTGATCGATATCGTGTCTGTTGCTGGTACATGGTACAGCCTTATTCGTATCGAGTTTGGTGCAGACGTCAGTGAGATCAAAATGCGCAGATCGCGATTGTCTGCACCTCGGTTGGACCTGATCGCTATTAAATGTCGCTGTGCATATAGGAGCACCTGATCCTGATCAAGTCGAATTAGGATCAATCCTCATCGCGATTGAAAGTTACCGTGCAACACCGGTGTGAATAAAAGCACACAAATTTCCCCACCCTTCCGAGGCACGCAGCACCTTTCCCAGCACCCACATGCGCCTTAAGCTCGATAAAACACGGGCTGGGCATATCGTTTCTGCTTGAAGAGCAAAAAAGGGAGGATTGCACAAAATACAGCGCAGCAACGACAGAGAGCACAACTTCTGTGCAAATTTCCAACTGTGTCAGTCACACCTCAGGCAAAGAAATATGAGCCAGAGAGAGGGTGAAAACTTCGTGCGGTGTGTTTTTGCACAGTCCTTCCTTCATGAAACAATGCACCAACTCGTGCACTAAATGTACGCTACAATATTGGAATTGAGTGACGAGTGTGGTTTGCCTTTTCTGCAGATGCACCACGACAGTGACGAGGAAGAAGGTCCCGCTCTGAGCTACAACTGGCAATTTCATCGGAGCAGCCGGCGCTGGTCGCGCGTCTCTCCGCCCTTGCCCGTGGTGGTCACTCCGACGGGGTCGCGCACTACTGCGCAGCACACGACACAGCAGCAGCAAACGGCCGAGGCGTACAGCTCTCACGACAGCGTGTTCTTGGATGAGCCGCGCAGCAGCCCTGAAAGCCGGCTTTCGACGAGCGATGAGCGCCTGGTGGGCGCCGACCTCGAGGGTTCGCCAGGACCCAAGCTCCGGCGCAGTGGCTCCGAGCGGATACGCGACGCCATCCTCCGGAGGATGGACAGCTTGCGCGGGAACCGGCGCCGAAAAAAGCGCGGTGCCCTGCACCAAGGTCAGCGTTGATTACATGTGTTGTAATTAGCCACGGGAACGCAGGATGGTGCTGTCCTGTGCTATCTTTCCTGCCTGTCACGTAGCCAGAAAATTGTTCGAAATAAGGGGGTGGATTAGGGAATGCTTTGTGTGTGTTAGTGTGTGCGGTGCATTATATATGTGTGTGTGTGTAATTTCGAAGATAAGACACCCCCTCCTCTCCCCTAGGCTGCTTCTCTCTATTTCTTGCCTTCTGTTTTTGTTTTTTAGGGGCGAAGCACCTTAGGACTGAGCTTAGGACGTACACCCTGCGTAGCCATCTAATTACAGTTTCACCCGTTAAGACCAAACCACACGTACGCTGCCCAAGTGCGAGCGGGAGCTCGTGTATGTCGAGCGCAACTCGCGAGAAATGGCAACTTCCACTCACACACTACGCGCGCAAGCCTGCGCCGTCGTGTGCTTACTTAAGCTGGCGGAAATAGCTGGGGGGGGGGGGGGGGCTGTTTTGAGCTGTTTATGATTTCCGAAGGGATCTATATGAACTTGAACACTCTCCGTAAGTCCAGCTGGTGCCGAACAAAGCCATACTGCACTACTCGGCACGGCGAGGCAAACATGAGTGAGTACACCAGTGCACTGCACATCGCTGCTGCACGCACGACGCATAGTGCACCGGAGGCTGATACGCCAAATTCACCGTGACGGGATCGAGCCCAACAAGTGCTGCTGGTTGTAACAACTCAGCACTACAAAGCACAGCTACCCTATCACGAGAACACACTTAATTGTATGGTGCACATCGCTGTCTCATGCAGGGATATAATATGGCAAAGGATGTATAAACAGAGCTCGTGAATGAATACATATGTCTTTGAGTGTACTTGTTCGGTATGTAGAAATATAAAATATACATTAAAAGGAAAGAAAAGGCAATCAAAATCAGTTCCTACATGCTGGCTAAGCCAATGAATAAGCCACACTGTCGTTGCGTGTCTGCAGAGCTCCGAGAGCAGTCAGCGCTGCTAGACGCGTGCCGTTTCAAAACTGACATTACTTCGCCTCAGACACTTGCATACGCACAAGGTTCTAGTGCACTTACGACATCTGTGCATGCACAATCAGTGGAGCACGCACCGGGTGTGCTCAAAACGAACAACTGCACGCTTTCGCAAGCTTTGATGCATGCGCTTTGAATGCATGATTGATTGATATGTGTGGTTTAACGTCTGAAAACCACCATATTAATATGAGAGATGCCGTAGTGGAGGGCTCCGGAAATTTCGACCACCTGGGGTTCTTTAACCTGCACCCAAGTCTGAGCACACGGGCCTACAACGATTCCGCCTCCATCAGAAATGCAGCCGCCGCAGCCGGGATACGAACCTGCGACCTGCGGGTCAGCAGCCGAGTACTTTAGTACTCGGCTGCTGAGTATTACTTTAGCTACTAGACCACCGCGGCGAGGCTGCGCTCTGGATGCAGATAATCTTGAAATCTTCAGTACAAAGAGACTACAGCGCTGCTATTGCTGTCGCCCGCCACAGAATCACCCGAGATGGGGTGCAGCTGCATCGTCTGTGTTATTGCCCCTTTCTAGTACATTATAACGGGGGTGTCCGGAACATGAATGGGCAGCACCTCCATCAGATGTCACGTGGGTTGTGTTCGTGGTTGCAGTTAGTCTTGGGTTACCTGGTGTTTTCCAGCAGAAGCCAGTGTTCTGGCTGTATCCCCTGCCGCCTGCAGCTGTTTGGTTCGACAATGAATATACCCATTCTTCTTCTTTGCGGCTTGGTTCTGGTTGCTCTGCATGACGACCCAATGGCTGGACACCTTGGCTTATTTTGTACGCTCGTGAAGATACAGGAAAAGTACTAGTGGCCCCGCGTCACTGCTGACCTCGTACACTACCTAAAAACCTACTGAGATTGCCAACAGGAGACACCGCAGACTAAGCAAACTGTACTTCTACAGCCCATCGAGCCACCTCATCAGCCATTCCCGCAGATTAGGATGGACCTCCTGGGGGACAGTGAATTGTCTTAGCTACTGACTACCTCGCCCGCTACGCTTAAACAAGGCCCCTGCTCAAAGGCAATGCATTCGAGGTAGCCAAATTCTTTGTTGAAAAGGTCGTCTTGCGTCATGGTGTCCTGTAGGTCCTCATCACCAACAGAGGTACAGCATTCATAGGTAACCTAACTCTGGCGATTTTGGCATACAGCCAGACAAGCCACCGCCTGATGACAGCGTACCACCCACAGACCAATAGCCTCACTGAATGGCTAAACAAGACCATCGTCAACATGCATGCTGGTCAAGTAAGTACGTCGACGTCGAACAGAAGACGTGGAATGCCATCCTTCCGTATTTGACCTTCGCATACAACACGGCAGTGCAGGAGATGACGCAGATGTCATCATTCAAGTATGTATAGTAGAAGCTCGGCAACGACACTGGATGGCATGCTCCCAAACGTCGCCGTCGAAGAAAACTTTGACCTCACCCTCTACCTTCAGCCTGCTGATCAACGCGCCAGCCTGCGCATCAATAATCAGTAGACGACCGACAGCTGCCACTACAATCTTCGACGAAGCTTCATGTAATACCAGCCCAGTGACCGCATTTGGGTATGGATGCTGATATGCCAACGTGACCGAGTGAGAAACTTCTGCGACGGTACTTCAAACTGTGCAGGGTATACTTTGACATCTGAGAGGTCCTAAATTCCTCTGCAATAAAATTTTTTTGACTCTACTCGGTGCACTCGACTTTCATTTTTTTGGTAAAGCATCAAGGCAATGCTTTTTTCAGAAGGGGGCGATGCCAACACCTTTGACAAGTTTGTTATCGCCCCATTACACGTGTGAATGCTCCTTTGCGCAAACCCGTCGATGAAATAAGAACCACTGAGATAATATTAGAACCTTCCGATGCGATTACACACACAAAGCAAACATTACAGACTGTTTTGAAACATACGTGGCTGCTAGCAGTCAAAGTGGCTAGAACATTCGACGACGCATATGTAAGTGCTGATGCACATAACCGCTTGTCATTGGTCATTGATTGATGGCCGATGCTCTGCTCGCCGCTTTTAGTGCCAGTGAATATTGCTATAATCTGACTTACCATTTATCGGCCACCTAGTACAGCCTAATAAACACTTTCATCTTGGACATACCGGATACTAGTTCTCACGTCACGACCCACGTGACAGTATAACAGAGAAAAGAAGACAAAGGAAAACCAAAGGAACAGGGAGAAATAAGAACGCACATGTTCTTACATCAGTAAACATGTCACCATCCACGAAAAGCACAGTTGCATAGCCATCTATCTAAGTTATAGCTGCCTTTAAAAATCCAGTTTCTTTATGATGATCGAAGGTGAGTTGCTTCGAGCATGGCCGGCTATGTGCCACTGAATAACATATTACTAAGCATTTATAAAAGACTCTGAGGAGGGTTGTCACTGACTTTCAAATGAAATTCATCAAACGATGAGCAAAAGTCGCCAGAAGTCTTGTTTCAATTTTTCCTTCAATTTTCGTCAAAAAATTCGCTGCTCTACATATGCGTGGCATACCTATAGTAATAAAACTTCCTTATTATGTGTAGCCACGTAGAGTATATGATAGCATTCATAAAGCGTGAAGTATATTGACGTTTTTCAATGCCAGTCACATCACCCGCTTCACCACGAGAGGACTTGGAAAGGGCATGCATGCACTAGCAGCGTCCCTGAATGGTAGCACCTCATAACAAAAGTTTGTGATAATTTCAGTTATAGCAAATATACGATAAAGTAGTCGCTACAACGAAAGAGGGATGGCGTGCATATCCTTCCTGCAGATTTAGAAAATTCTGTTGCAGTGGAATCATTTGGCAGGTAATCGAAAAACTTAATTACAAAGCAATGTAAATAAATTCGAAAGTGCTGTGTAACCATCGCAATGCCGACTTAACGCTTTCTGTATGGACGCTGTGCATTCACCTCAATGCAGTTTCTGAAGGCTGTCCAAAAAAGCTCGTCTTCTTGGCTCACCCGAAAAGTATAATCATAACAAATTTAAACTCAACATACGAAATTAGGGGGTACTATACAGCAGTGAAGATGTCGAGAAGCTATTCACGGCAGTTGAAGCTGTGGTCAGGACATGCGGCCTTACCGCAACCTAGCCACTTCAGAAGCAGAACTTCAAAACTCAAAGCTCTTAAAGCTCCAAAAAATGTAGTATAACACCACCGTCTCACGGCATATGAAGTACGTATTCCATTGACCCAAATTTTGCTGGGAAGTTGCTGGCGGATGCAACAGTGTGCTGGTGGCTCCAGGATCTATGTGAATTAGAAGATACACACGAGATACATGACAGGCGTACTAAATTGCCCATAAAGTGCACCTTCTATTAGTGAGTTTAAAACTACAAAAAATAGAAAAAAATGTTGTCGCCCATTTGTTTTGAGCACATATAGAGAATATATAGCTCAGTCACTCTGTCGAGACCTAAGCCGAAAATCGCCAAAAGTTTGCCATGTCGCCATTCATAATTTAGGTCGCCATGGGCCTCCCAAACTTGCCATTTTGGCGAAAAGTAGCCACCAGTGGCAACCCTGACAGTGAGCTAAATTATAGTTGTGCCATGGTATGGCGGCAGCATTAGCGCGGCTCACTTTGATCGAGGGGTTAATGGTGATGGGTTAGGCGTGTGCAGCTGCCTGTTAGCTGTCAGATTTGCACCAATGATCGGTGGTGTAGTTAAAGCTCACTCTAACCTGTCGTGCCACGACTCTAAATGTTTATTTATGACTGCTTCGAACGTCCCGTAGCGTGTGCTCTTATTTGACAGGAACAAGTGTACTTTGTTTGCTAATCCCTTAGTTTGTTGCGTGTTTTAATATCGTAGAATATATTTTTAAAGGCATATCACAGATAGGATGGCAGTCCACGGTTATGTAAGTTACTGTTATCAAGACGAGAAAGTTTGCTTATGCACGTAGACGTTGATGAAGGACTCCGCACTTTTCAAGTCGTGTGTGCGGTGATGAAGTTTGAAACTTTGTAGCATATGAAAACTATATAGCTTTTCGTGCAACTGCCCGATATCCGAATTTGAGAGAGTGGTGCGCGCCAAGTTCGCGTAGAAGTTCGCGTATAATTTGTTTAAATGCAAGCAATTGCTGCAAAATTATACCACAAAATCGCCAACAAACATCTTGTTGTATGATTATTAGTACTAACCTTGTTGGTGCTTAACCCCTTTTATTTTCACAGTCATGCATTTCTTGTCTCATTCACCTTCTTCACATGCAAGCGAAGGCCACCCGCAGTCAAAGTGGCAGTTAGGGTGCATCGCCCTGTCGCGGTGGTCTAGTGGCTAAGGTACTCGGCTGCTGACCCGCAGGTCGCGGGATCAAATCACGGCTGCGGCGGCTGCATTTCCGATGGAGGCGGAAATGTTGTAGGTTCGTGTGCTCAGATTTGGGTGCACGTTAAAGAACCCCAGATGGTCGAAATTTCCGGAGCTCTCCACTACGGCGTCTCTCATAATCATATAGTGGTTTTGGGACGTTAAACCCCACATATCAATCATATCAGTTAGGGTGCATCGATGTGCGCGAGTGGCAGATGCAATATGTCAGTACCTCGAGCAGCCACCGTCATCAGCTGAGCTCAAAACAAAGCTTGCCACACCTCTATTGCTGCCTGGCTGCACATTCGTTGTTTTGGAACAGGTGCAGTTACGTCGCATTGATTCATTTTGCCACATATAACGGCGTGGCGGCTAGTCTGTTTGCATTTTACGTACATATACTCATCACAATTTGGTAGCCACTCAAATAATGCAACTTCTTATCCCCCTCTCCCCCTCTTTCTTACTTAGCATGGTAGATAGTGCTCTTTGCATAATTCAGAGATTTTCTTTTTCAATGTTACTGAGTGCCTTCTTGGTAAACTTATTTTCAAACTTTGGTGTTTTTGGTAAACCACATAAATTTCTCAAAAAACAAAGCCCACTTATCAAATTCAATATATACCGAGTTTTATTCTCCTCAACTTAACTTGTCTCCAGAAGAAAAAAACAGCAAAATAATTAATGAAATGCAATTAATGATGATTTGATTTGTGGGGTTTAACGTCCCAAAACCACTATATGATTATGAGAGACGCCGTAGTGGAGGGCTCCGGAAATTTTGACCACCTGGGGTTCTTTAACGTGCGCCCAAATCTGAGCACACGGGCCTACAACATTTCCGCCTCCATCGGAAATGCAGCCGCCGCAGCCGGGAATCGAACCCGCGACCTGCGGGTCAGCAGCCGAGTACCTTAGCCACTAGACCACCGCGGCGGGGCAGAAATGCAATTATTTTATGCAGTGTACCATATTTGCGATTATGTTGCGGTAGCGACTACAGTGCTCTCAGCAGGTTCTTGCCATTTACGTAATGTTCCGTATGAAGTCCACAGTGATAACAAATAGCCCCGCAGATCGTATCTTCTAAAGTCCGTGAGATCTGCCGACGAACGCGGCTAAAGAAGAGATGAAACGAGCCGGCCATCTCTGTAGCACGGAGGGTGCATGCAATGACTCTCGTCTAATAATTGTAAATATCGACCTTCCTTTTACACCACAGGTCTGATGCGGACCTACTATATATCACTAATAACTGCTACACAAAGAAATGCAGGATGTGGGCACCAAGGGCAGCTTCATATACATCCTCTAGATTCATGCAGCCTCTGAATCTGTTTATAGCACCAGCTGCAGAATGATTTGTTTTCTGTGAAGGTGACTGTGCAAATGCTCACTTGCAGGTCCCGGCGCCGGCAACGATCCCACGGCGGGTGGTGGAGGTGGCAGCCCATGGTCAAACCACCTGGGTCCCGAAAACCATGCGCTCAGTGATTCTGAATGCTCGCCCCAGCTAGCACACCGTCGTAAAACAGGAAGTTTCCGTTCCAGGCACAAGAACCAACAGCCTCCAGCACGCTGGCTGTCAGCGAGTACAGAGCATGGTCGTGTGAGCATCTACGACAACGTGCCCGCCGGGGAAGCTCCAAACAACCAGAGTGAGCAGAGTTGTTCCCACTGCTTAATTCACCTCATCGCTCATGCCTTATACTTTTAGTCCTGAACCATTAGTGTTAAAATGAAGCTGCCAATCATGCGCAGCGATAGTTTGTTGGCAGTCAAAATCTGTTGGGGAAATAACAAAATTAACAAATAAATAAATTCCAGTTTTGTCGCAAAGGCGAAGCAATGCACGTGATAGCAACAAATTGGGAGGTCACACGAAGAATGGCAAAAAGATTGAAACATGCCCTGCGTTTTTCACGAACAAATAACGCATGAAACGTACTCACAGGTACAGATGAACACGAATAAGTATATCTGTTGTTTTTTCGCTGTGTCTGAAAAGCGCGCCCTTCTTGAAAACGAAGACTGTGCTGCGATTGCGGTGACCATTGTGCGCCCGGTGACTACAACAGAATCGTTTCGGTGAAAGCCCAAGGCGTACAATTGTCCCCACTGCGAGATAAGCGAGCACAGGCGAAAGCGTCCCCTCTCCACCGAACAAAGTACGCTTGGGAGATGAGAGAGCGGGCCGCCGCATCGTGAAAATTTGGCCATGCGCTCTCATTGCGTTATCTCGCTGGTAATTCTGAAAACACAATAGTAGTTCTCCAAGATGCCCGTCACCAGCAGAAAGTGGTAGATATCAATAGCTTGCCGTTTGAAGGTTGAAGGAGGTGCTCCTTCGTGGCTCAGTGGTTATTGTCTCGCACTCGCAATTCAGAGGTCAGAGGTTCGATTCCACATGCCAGAGTCATTTCCTGGATTATTTTTTTTTCTTGGATTTTCATATATATAGATACGTATACAGTGAATGACGGCGACACTCACAGCGACGCCGGTGGCAATATCCAGCCGACAGGGTTCATATAATTGCTATCACATGAAATTGTGCACTTCAGGTGCCTTCGTTGGTGCAGGTTGCCTTGGACTCCACCAGTGCCTCCTGCAATTACACATTTTGTTGATGTGCAGCACATATCCTGGACTGTTTACATTAGCTGTTTGCACAGGGCATGTTAACCTTGGCAATCCTTGTGGATGCATGCTCCTGACTCCAGAGAGCGAAGGAGATACTCATTGTGTAGTTTTTGGGCAAGCTTAGAAGAATGCCGCGTCACATGAGAGACACTCGGCACACCCTGTAACTTATTTGCTTCCTTTAATAGGTGCACCCTTGCAACAGCAGCCACAGCTGGAACAGGACCAGCCTCAAGACCTGCAGCAGCAACAAGACCAGCAGCGAGCAAACGACACTGGCAGTGTGGGATCAGGGTCTACAGGCAGAGGAGTGCCCGAGGAAAATGACAGACCGCCTTACACCTCCGAGAGGCGAGACTCCGGCGTCGGCTCATCGCTCACAAGAGCTGGAAAGTGAGTGGCTCATCATCAATCAATGGTGCAAGGAGGTCGTGCTATGCTCATAGTCCGGGCTTGCCTCCAATGCCTAATAGGCGTGTGCGAATATTCGAGCACTTTAAAAATTCAAACGAATGATAATGCATTCAAATTCACTTGGGTTCTAATTTAAATTATTATAAATTTCGAAGTGCTCAAAATGAATGCTAGATGTAAATTAGTCTGCATGCAGCCCCTTGTAAAGGTGGTTTCGCTGCAGTGGAGGAGTGCTGTACCATGAAGACACCTAGCCAGAAAAAAAATCTGCACTGTTGCGAGGTCCCACTTCAAGGTTAAACGAACATATTACCCTTACATTGATTCTTCCTTTTCAAGTTTGAAAGCCTGCTGCGTTGGCTTATATGCTATAAGTATAGTGAATTTGGAAATTTAACATACCTCACAGGTTGTCACTTGCTATTTTATTGAAAGTCAAATCCTGCTATTATTCAAAATTGCTTCCACTTCCTTTGAACCAGACAGGGCAACATTTGCACATGCCTTGTTTCAATCAGAAAATATATACATACTGTGCAGGTTAGTCGGGTCGTGACAAATATGATCATTTTTTTATCATAATTAATATATGCAATTTGAATATGATTTAAAATTATTAAAACCAAATTACTATTCGCTTAGGTCTATGCATTGGTACACATGAATAATAATATTTGACTCATTTAACGTGCCCAGGAACAATCATAAGGTTTTTGTGCAGGTGCATGCATAAATAAAACAATAAAAATGAACAATACAATACAGGCAGTCTTCAGAAAAGGAAATCAAATAAAAAGAGCGAGAACGCACAGACAAAATGAAATCGGCACAATGTGGGAAGAATAGGAAGGCAAGACGAGAATCATGGAAAGAGTGAAAAATGAAGGGCAGTATACACAACTACAGTTAAACCTCTTTATAAGAGGCATGCTCTGAGCAGCAATTCTTGCCTTTCATATGCGATGTCTTTTGTAAGCAGGGTACCTTGTGTGCATCATTTTCTGAATCCGTATTTCGCTGTAAGCAGACTGATGTCTCTTATACCCATTTGTCTCTTATCTTAGTGTCTCTTATAAAGGGGTGCGACTGTATGTGGAAAGCTTCCTGAAAGACCGAAAAGGGAAGAATCTATACATCCTGAAAAACCATGTTAAAACAGTGCAAGGCTGAGTTAAAAAGAATGACAGTGGACTCTGAAAAACATCAATATCATAAAAGATTACATTATAGACTCTCATAGAAGCGGTAGAGTGTTGAAAAAAGTTGAAGGTGCATGAAATGGTCGATTGTCACTGGTTAACTTGCACGGAATCCGAAAATTACACAACTGAGAAGCAAAGGGCATTATATAATACCGTGAACTAGTTAGTAAAGAAATAACAGGTCAGCGGGATTTCATCGGCACTGTAGTGATGGCAATGATAATAATCTGGCAGTGTTAGAACGAGGTCCAGAGTCAATAGAAAAACAAAATGGGGCAGATAGACGTTTTGTGGCAAATGACTGCTGCTGCAACTTTGAAATCAGTATGGACATTTATAGCAAGATGATAAATTGTTGAACAAGGAATGATGCTACAGCCACAAAATTTTTGACAAGGGGTTTTGTTTTCGTCAGCCCTTCCTTGTCAAAATATTTGCCGCAACATTTCCTGTTCAATGACTTTTCTTAATTTCAAGCTTTCATGGTCTCCTGCACATCTGTCTAGTTTCGATAATTAGGGTGTAGCATTAGAAACCAATAAAAAAAGTCATATAATAACTTCTATGTAATACCTTAAAATAATACTACATGTTTTATTATTGTTCTTAGCTACAATGTGTAAATTTTGGCTGTGGTGTCATCATCAAAAAAAAAAAAATCGGAGAGGTTTTTTTTTCCCAGGAAGCAGTTGCCTGTCCAGTATTCAATAAAGAATATTTTTCTCTCTTCTGTTTTGCATGGCCTGCTTTCATCATTCTGTTTTTCAAGAAATATTGCATTTACAAGACCTTGTGTATAGGCTCGTAGGAAAATAATGAATGGAAGAAACAGCACTGCAAAGTTCACAACGATGGCAGACAAAAGTGACACTGACATCTAAAAATGAACAACTGTCTAGATGTGCTTCATCAGTGTCCTTCTTGTCTGCCACCTTCATGAACTCTGCAGTGCAGCTTTTTTCTTTCCTAATTCAATGCCAGGCCAACTGAGATGTGTTGGTGTACACCAGTGACTTGGTATGGTGCACATTGTCATAGTGCACCGTCAACATAGCTTCATAACTACTCACTCTTATTTTGTCGTGAAGTTGCAGTTGCACTAGTTTAATGTTGCTTCTTGTAGACAAAAGCTGCCGGAGTCCGGGAAGTATACGCATTGATGGAATGCCAGAAGCCTTTTAAATTTCAGTGCCATAACGTAAAACATTGTATGAGAAGGCCAGGTTCCTTTGATGCCGTGTTTGTGACTTTTTCGTAGCTTGGTGTTCTCAGTAATGTTGCTTTGTAAATACAAATTACATGAATTCTAATCGTTCAACATCTTCTCTGTGCAGTGGGAGTCCCTGCAACCAGGGTTCTGCGTGGCATTGTTTTTCATCCTCACCTGAGCAGCTGACATGCATGACCGCACTGCGCTATGAGCACCTATCGGCTTCTCAATTGCTTGTGCTCAAAAAACTGGCGCTGCTTCACCTAACAGCTCTGATGGAGCGATTCTCGCCACCCTACCGGTCAGGCTGGGGCTGGGCTGTTCCCAAGTTCATCAAGCGCATGCGTGCTCCTGACTACAAAGGTCAGTATGTACCAAAGCACTGTGTTATTATTTCACAGAGATGGTGGTGCCTAAAGCACCAAATGTTCTTTCTCATATACATTGAATGCAGTGTCAAAGAAAGGGCATTCATTAGTCATAAGACAAGATAGCGCTTAATAGAGGAAAGATAAATGTTTCACATGAAGGCTACATCAGTACAAATGAAGTCATATAGCATAAATGCACACAGTCATATCATGAAGAATAACATGTTCTCAGTTCCTATTGAAGAAACACTGTTCAGCTACTAAAGAACACAGTACGACAAGCCTTTGTTAGAATCAAATAGCGTTACTCAAATTACCACTTTAATTAAAACTTTCCTCTAGTCCTGACCCTATGCATGCATTTTGGGATGAGGAGGAAGAACAACAATGAGAGAAGACAGGGAGATTAAGCAAGCATACGCCCGCATGCATTCTACGGTTTTCTTACTCTGCGCCACGCATCTGAAACGAAATGGGAGTAATGCTTCTCTTCTTTTAGATGGTGACACTGCCCTTGCAAACCTAGAGTGCACTTGGAGGTACAAGATATGGGAAATGTCAGGCACATTGGTGAACCTTTAAGGGGAGATGCAATTCGAAAGAGAAGCTTCGTTAATGTGCAGGCTAGGACAATAAAATATATTGCTGTATATATGAGCTTTTATGATTACTTCAAATATGTAATTCGTTTTACAGTAGGTTGTGCAGCTTTCATTTTGTGCCATGACAATGTGTAAAATATAGTTTGTATTAAACAATCTTTTTATGCCATTACACTTTTATGGTTCTGAGCCATCATTAGCTAATATTGCTGGACATTTATTGCGGAATACAAATAGATATAAATAAATTGCATATATGCCATATCAATGGACAAGAAAATCGTAATGTGAGAATTCTTAGAATCGTTAGCCCATACCACCTAATTGCTAGCTTTTGGTTTGTACATAGTAATTATACAGATGATATCAAGTTTTAACAGAGATACTTGCACCCTTCACATGTTGAAAAATATCTGGCCAATGTTTCATCGTGATCTGACTATCAAAGGTACCTTAAACGTTATGTCTAATATCAAGAAGTCCGAAAAATGGGTCTTGAAAAAAAAAACATTTTAAAGGTATAAGGCAAAGCTCATCCATGCAGCAAAAATGTGTTTTTTCAATGATTTTTTCCATCATGAGAACTTGGTGATCCTAATGTGGCTTTAGTGAACTCCTCATGTGAAATGCAGTGGCAAGCAGCCAAGTGACAATTTGCCGGGGACTCTAAACAATGAGCTCTTCTTAGTCTATAGTAGCCACCTTGTGCTCTTCAAAAGTGATTTTTTGTTGTGAGAGTAGAGAAACCATACTTGTGAAAGCAAATAAAAAAAAATATGTAGTTTAGAAGTAAAATTCGATATTTCTACTCTCACCTTCCCTTAAGCACATGTGCACAGTGGGTGGGACACTCTGCATTTATCGTCGTGGCAGAGCGATTGTGGGTTTCACTTCCTAGTCATCCAAATCGATCAAACTTCTTTTTCTAGTTTCTCTTTGTCGGGTGTCTTTCATTGACGTATCTCTGTTAGGGCAGTATACATCAGTGGAAGCTTGGTGGACCCTGGCATTTTGTATTTCTAACTGAGCTGTCCTGTTAGCATGGCATTGGAGACAAAAGCCACTTTTAGGAGCAGTAGTGCCAAAAAGCAGCATACCTGTCCCACATTCATGTGTGTCCTGAGGCCAAGCAACTGTTGTGTCATGTTTTTCAAACAGCTTAGTGAAGGAGGGAGAAGGACAGACAGTTTTATGTTTTACATTTCATCATTTATGTATGGAAGTTTGTACATGGTTGACATGACTGCCAGTTTGTGATATATGCACATGTTTATTTTCAGTGTTCAGAGCTGATGAGAGGCTCTTTAAAAAATGTAGGTTTTGTGTTCGAATGTGGCATATAAAATATTTTTTGCATAGTGCATCCATATAAAATGAGGTCAGGTACTCAGTCTCTACTGAAGTGTGGTGGTCAGGAGGAAACTATTTACCAATTAGCGTGCAATAAAACAAACACACAGCTCTTCAGGCTGTTGGAATTCCCATTTGCTTTCTCTTCTGTGGAGGTAATTGTTTGCTTTGTGGTGCTGTGTGTTAATCTGCAGACAAGACCGTGTTTGGAGTGCCCCTTAGCGTGTCCATACAGCGGACGGGACATGCCCTGCCACCATCCATTCAAGGAGCCATGGAGTTCTTGCGGAAAAGTGCTCCTGAGGCTACAGGCCTGTTCCGAAAATCGGGAGTTCGCTCCCGTATACAGAAACTTCGTTCACTGCATGAGTCTGCCACGGGACCCATTTCGTACGAGCAACACCAGGCTTATGATGTGGCTGACCTGCTGAAGCAGTATTTCAGGGAGCTTCCGGATGGCCTGCTCACCAGCAAGCTGTCTGACACATTTCTCTGCATCTTTCAACGTAAGTGGGTGCTTCTACTCTGCTCGCTCCGAGCATATAAATGTGAAGTGACATCCTGTTGCATCTTGTTCGATCAGTGAAATAGGTTGCTACTCGCAGCACGGTGCAACATTAAAATGAGAGAAATTCAGCTTTTTTATTTTTATTTATTCAAGTACCCCAAGGGCCCACTAGGAGCATTGCATAGGGGCGGAAGCAGTAATACAATATAATTTTTCCAGAGAATAAATTATTGTTGATTAATACAAATATACAGTACAGAAATCCACTCACATAATAACAAGGCAAGCAATACAACAAGTAATATAACATCGGATAAAGCAGTTGATGAGAGTTACAGGGTTTTAAATACGTAAGAAATTCTGAATTATACAAGAAAGGTTCAGTTATATTAGCAATCCCGGAAAGTAATTCATTTCTTTCTTTTATTGATGGTGTTAAAGGCGAATTTTTGTATTTTTCTGTACGGGCAAAGATGGCGTTGACATTGAGAGCATGATCGGTGTGACTAGAAGTATGAGTCCCGCATGAAGTGTTGATTGATAGACACTGCATGATGTAACGTCCATAGCTTTATCAGTTATTGATTTTTGCAGTGAACATTATTGCTTCCAGCTCTTACCACAACAATAAGATATAATATGATCACCAGGGCTACATGCATGGGAAGACCGTAAGGAAAGATCGCTAAAATGGAGAGATGAGCCTTCTCTAGTCACTCAGATTTTGAACCCAGAGTAAATTATCTGAAAAATAGGGCACATAGGTCAGCTATGCGCTGAGCTGCACAATGCCCATAACTAATAGCCATGTATGAGCCGACTACAAACACTTAACGTGTCATTGAGTCTGGGCAAAGCCATATACCTGGCCTCATACTGAAATTTATGTCGGGTTAGCCAAACGAAATTCCGCATGCAAGTAAACACCCACTTGAGGGGTCACTGATAGTGCTTTGAAAATGCAGCATAATATTTTGTTACAGGCATTCTGTAATGTACTCAATTGTTTTGGTATGCACATAATTGAAGCTCACATGGTATATTTTCATCTTACAGATGTGTTTTATAAAGGCGTCTTTGTTATACACAATGTTACTTTTTTTTCCTGTAACTTTGTTGGTGACATCTTTTTCGAGAGTTGCACCTCTCGCTAAAGTGCTGCTGTGGAATTATGGTCATAATACTTAGGCTCCACATTTATTGCAGACATTCCAGAAGAACTGCGACTGGACGCGCTGCAGGCAGCAGTCCTCCTCATTCCAGACGAGAATCGAGAAGTGCTCGAAACACTACTTGTGTTTCTCGACGATGTGTGCAGACATGCACAAGAAAACCAGGTACACTGAGCCTTTCAATTATTAAATGTGAAGCATTTTTTAACGAACTGCAGGCTTTTTGAGCATTTCTGTCTACTTATCTATCGACCTATCTAGCTGCCTACGTCTGGGTCCTCTCGTGATTGATGTCAGAGGGTAAATTGGTATGGTTGGGTAAGAGAGTTTGAAAAATATGGCATGTCTGGTCATGACATGAAAAATGTGAATATCCTGCCAAATACGTTGTCAAATGCTTTTGTCCAGACATGTGGTATGCGCCATGGGTGATTGATAGTCAGCTAGTCGGTCAACAAACTGCATTCTGGTCAGGTGATTGAGAATTTTTATCTACCCCGAAGACTCGACGAATGCAAAGATGAAAAAAATCAGGATCTCAACTGAAATCGAACCCAAGCATTCTGTGTGGCAATCAGGTATTCTACCACAGAGCCATGCCAGGTCTTGAAATGTTTTGGAAAAAGACGCAACACAGGCATAAGCTCCATGTAACCTCAGTTGTGGTTGCAGTGCTGGCTATTTAATTTTACATTAAAGCAAGAAACATTACATATGTTATGTAGACCTATGACACAGACATCATGCCAAGTTAGTGTCCTATGGTGGTTTCAATGTTGAGTCCATTTTTATAGCTGTCTAATACGCAGTACATTTGTATTCTTATGATTATTCAAATGTTGCTCTACCCCTGGGGAATATGTTGACGAAAGTTGTGTGTGATATTCACATGGTCATGCACATCGTAAAGTGCACTTCGTTTCAATAATATTTACGTCTGTACTCTAACGCGAATGCTGATGTTGTGTGAGACTATAAGTTACCCAGTGTAGTCATGAGTAGACGCCAATATATAGTGGACATTCCTGGTAAGCCCACGATGTGCACTCGACTACTGCAGTTAACGTTGATCCACCTCGTAACGCTTGCCTCCAAGCCAAAAATATTCAGCATAGAGAGATATTCTCTGGCTAATTCTCATGAAACTGATTCCCACGAGGTGTGGGATCTGCCGAATTTTGTATGAGGTGAAGATGACGTTTACTCTTAGGACAGGTAGTAACCATAGAGCTGAACCATGGGAGTGGAAGACTTAACTTAAAACTTATTCTTATGACTTAAGTCAACCTTAGCCATAAGTCCATCCTTAATGCGTATCAGAAACCTACCTTTTACTTACCGTGGAACTTTTCTCGTACTTAAGTAAGGCTTGATTAAGGTAGCCTATGACCTACTTTAAGGCTTTATTAAACAACACGTAGCGGGATGACAACTTTGCGCATTTTGTTTATTATGTGGACTGCAAAGAAGTATTGAATGGCACAGCGTATGTATAAAAATCACCGCCGTGGCCGGTCTTCAATGATCGACGGAACCTGGTTGAGACATACGACAAGCAGAAATTCTTGTGCCGCCCCCACTTAACAAAAAGTGCCAAGAACAATCTGCTTGCTGGGCTGTTTCTGCAGGAAAATATCCATGGTTGTAGGTTCGTTGTGCCCGATCTCGTGCAGCTGCTCCTCACATCGCAATTTCATGGAGCAGGCACGTTTCAGCTTGGGAGCGACGGCCTTGTCAATGTCTCGTAGTCGACCATGTCACGAGTATACAGTCCAGCAGATACCTGCTATGGTTTCAAAAACACTTTTTCCTGTACCCGTAAAACTTCCCGAAGTGGCACAAACACTTTTCTAGTTGTTTGGTCGGCCGTTCACGAGTGCACAGTGTGTCAGCTGTTGAATTTTACTGTGAGCTGCTTCCACGTTTTTCATTTTCTCTGAAAGCACATGGCGTCCGTCTTGGTACTTGTTCACAAAATTTGTAAGGACGTACCCACTTTGTCGGTGAAGTTCATTTCGCCCCGCCGCGGTGGTCTAGTGGCTAAGGTACTCGGCTGCTGACCCGCAGGTCGCGGGTTCAAATCCCGGCTGCAGCGGCTGCATTTCCGATGGAGGCGGAAATGTTGTAGGCCCGTGTGCTCAGATTTGGGTGCACGTTAAAGAACCCCAGGTGGTCAAAATTTCCGGAGCCCTCCACTACGGCGTCTCTCATAATCATATGGTGGTTTTGGGATGTTAAACCCCACATATCAATCAATCGGTGAAGTTCACTTCAGTGCCCCGTTCCACAATAAATGCAACTTATAAAAAAATGGTGTAAGACTGCTCAATATTGAATAAATCTAGTGAAATTAAAAAAAAAAAGTGAAAGAAAACAGCAAACATTGAAACGAGCTCGATAACACCACCGAACACAGCAAAAACATACAAGACGTCAAAATAACAAAAATCACTAGACCAGTCCACTGCGTGGACTTGAGTTGCAGAAAAGTGGCTTGACAAAAAACGTGTATATCACTGAAAACTGCCGGTGCCTAAACAAACATTGCAGCCGTTTAGGTTTGGCTGCTTCTGTGCATACTGTTGCTGGGTTCCTGCAGTATATTGCTGCTTGAGGTAATGACTTCGTAGCAAAAATTTACCTACTCTCGCACCGAGAGCCAATACTTGATGAGTTAAGGGCGCCTTATGGAGCAGACGCCTGGAGGCTTACAGAGAGGGTTCAACTAAAACTGAGAATGATAGAGCGGGCAGATGGAAAGCAAAATGTTTGGTGTAACCTCAAGAGAAAGGAACAGAGCAGAGTGGTTCCGGAAACAAATAGGGGTTAAAGTAATCATAGTTATGGATGTAGAAGAAATGGACATAGACTGGGCACATAGCACTTATGCAGAATAACCACTGGTCAATAAAGGTAAAAGATTCCAAGAGAAACTGAATTCCAAGAGAAAGCAAATGTGTCAGAGGAAAACGAAAAATTGAGTGGGCAAATGAGAAGTTTCAATGAAAAGAAGTTTGCAGCTGTAACATGGCAGCAGAAAACACAGGATTGGGTTAATTGGTGACACATGGGAGAGGCCTTGGCCCTGCAGCGGGCGTAGTTAGGCTTCTGATGATGATGATAAAAATCAGAGCACTTGGGATGCATGACCTCATCAACTTTCCATTTTCCTGCTGTAGTGTGAGAGCGAGTAAAACTTTGGCTATTGAAGAAAAAGCAGGACTTGACTGTGGACACCCTAAAACTGGTCCACGAGCATCACCTCTCATTCTGAAGACTCCCTGTTTCTCTTTCAGATGACCGTGGCCAACATCGCAGTGTGCATTGCACCGTCCCTTTTTCAACTGGCGGTGCCACGAAGCGCGAGTGCGAGTCCACGAAGGCGAGCAACTACGGTGGGCATTCCTGACCAGCGTGAACTCAACGAGAATAGAGCTGCCCACGAGTGCCTGGCACGAATGATTGTCGACCACAAGAAACTATTTCAGGTGTGCCACTCATGATGTGCTGGCCATGCAGCAGCATTTGCCGTGTAACTTTTCAGTGAGACTAGAGTGTGCACAGCTCCTTAGTGTGCTCAGCAAAAGCTTTAGCAAAGTTTCACATTGGCACATCTGTTGTACTTTTTGCTTATGTATGGCTGTTTTATTTGTATCGTATCCATTAAGTTCATTTGAATTCATAATGTTTAAATTAGGGTGTCATGCTGAACCTAAACTGATAACTCCTCCTCAACAGCAATTTCAACTGAACCTGAACCCAATACGAACCATTATTGTTGGATTGTGCCTGAACCTAAGCCAAACCTGGAGTGAAAAAATCGTCTTTGGTTATTGATTTACAATGCAATAGCTCAACAATATGGGGTAATAACAGAACAACAAAACAAAAGTGATACCTTGCCGGCGACACCCAATAGCAGATTGCAGTGGCTCACAAGTAGCGTTGCATATGAGAATGACAATAGACTACAGTTGTCTGCTTGAATTGATAGCGTTTGTATTTACACTTAGATATTTCAGTAGGGCATTCAGCAGCTGAAGCTTTTGGCAGCGGAATTATGTATTTAAGTTTGAATGTTATGTCAGCTTACTACTGTTACTAAAAAACACGTGGCTGATCGCTCTGTCTAGGAATCGGTGTAAGACGAGAGGGAAAAGTGTTTTTACAGAGGTAGTTGAGCGTTTGGTGCGCACTGTTTCACCACAAGGGCGAAGGAATGAATGCTATAGCAACAAATTGCAAAGTCACGCGAAGAATAGCAAGCAGCTCGGAACTTTCAGTGCGCACCTCAAGCAGAAAGCACGCACGAATTGAGCATACACAGGATGAGCGAGGAATAACTGTCGCAGCTCGACAATTAAAGCACACTGTTCAAACAGAAAGAAAGACACACGAAACAAATGCACAAGTATACATAGAACAAGTGCAAACTGTCAAAATTCTTATTTCTTCGTGTGTGAGCAGCGCGATCCTTTTGTAAACACGGCCATGGCAGCTAGCGAAGTGACCTTCGTGCTTTCCCAAATCACGAGTGTGATAAGTGCGCGCGCAGGAGAGACCAGGCTCTGTGGAAGCAGCTCTCATTGAAACGGGAAAGGCGACAACCTTTAGAGCACGCACAACGCGAGCCCTTTGCGCCATTTCGCTACTGATAACGAAAATGCACTGACGTTGCAGAGCTCTGAGGACCATTTAACAATATATGGCGTATATAAATAGCTTGCCTTTAGCAATCCTGACAATGTACCATAAAAAAACCAGAATATAGGTCGACACTGAAAGCTTTGAATCATTGAAAAAGACATTTTAAAGAAATTGCTAAGTATCGCGGCACACCCTTACCTTGGTAAATATGCGACACAACCAGCTGCACTGCGGTGGCATTTTTTTTATTTGGACACTAATCCTGTGTAGTTAAATGCCAAAACGCCACAAAGTAGTGTCACTCGGACTCGTCCGAACTTGAGCCGGACGGCGTCTTTCTTTCACTAGTAACAGCCCAAAGTGCAGCGCCCTTCGTTCCATTCAATGCGTCACTGATGCAGCATTTTTGGAAAGACGAAAATACGCCGCCAGAGCAGGAAGCCCTTCCGCTTCATAAATTGGCGCACCTAGAATGACAATCCTTTGAATTACTCCCTCGTGAGCCCAAGTCACGTGTTATCTCGAGAGCTTTCACGCGGATGCACTCCACTGTTATGGGTAGCGACCTTGTACGCAGCTCCAGGACGAATTTTATTTTTTATTTGGACACTAATCCTGTGTAGTTAAATGCCAAAACGCCACAAAGTAGTGTCACTCAGACTCGTCCGAACTTGAGCCGGACGGCGTCTTTCTTTCACTAGTAACAACCCAAAGTGCAGCGCCCTTCGTTCCATTCAATGCGTCACTGATGCAGCATTTTTGGAAAGACGAAAATACGCCGCCACAGCAGGAAGCCCTTCCGCTTCATAAATTGGTGCACCTAGAATGACAATCCTTTGAATTACTCCCTCGTGAGCCCAAGTCACGTGTTATCTCGAGAGCTTTCACGCGGATGCACTCCACTGTTATGGGTAGCGACCTTGTACGCAGCTCCAGGACGAATTCGGCAAGTAATGTTTTTAGTTTGGGGTGCGCTGTAGTCCATCCGTGAAACAATGTTTGTTTTTTGGTTGCTGCAGGATGTGATGTGCTGCTTTTGCCTCCTCCAATATCGGACGCTTTTTTCCAATGCACTGAATTCCCTTTGTGCCCCACTAGGTTGCCGTGCGCTTCGGCATATTTGTTAACTTTTTTTAAAGCCTATTGTAAACTACCGTTGACTACCACTCATTTCTGAAGGAAATAGAAAAAAGGAAACAGCAAACTGACAGCAGATAACCGATCGACCCAAAATGACATTGCTAGGACACTGTAGGCCTTGCCTAGCATTGGCCAATGGAGCCGCTGCTGATGCTCTCAATGACAATGGAGGCTTTTCTTTCTTCCTTTCTTTCTTTCCTTTTTTCTTGCTTGCTTTATTTATTCAATACCGCAGACTTTATACAGGTCCAAGCAGGGTGAGGGCAAAAAAACAACAAAAAACGAAGCAATCGCAAATATAGGTAATACAATTTGCAATTATCCCGTTGTGATTAAAGGCTACAAAGAATTATTCTAGTCTATTATGGTGTGCAAGCTATCAAATGTGGATGAGGGTGTAGTCAGATATCATCGCTAACAAGTAACATGCAGGTATCGTTGAAGTTTTATTCATCTTTAGACTTTGCGTCCACGTAAAAGTGGTAATACCGTGTTAACCGCGAGAAGCGGGATATGTGGGGCCATCTGGAGGCGCAAAAAAGAACCTGACAAGCAGGAAACGTATTCTATTTCTTTGCTGATGCTCATGCGTGGTAGCTATATTGCATTGACCTCTGTGCGTATACTGGAATGCTTTGCACGACAAAACACACCAATATAGCTAACTGAGGCACGAGCGAACATGGCTGAAGCGGGCATCCTTGAGCACCTCTGCAGTGCTACTTGGAACAGGGTTCATTTCAGAATCGCTGTTCAGCAAAAGGTCGATCTAAGAAAAAATAATCCGCGACGTCGCGAATCGCAGGGATTCCAAGCTTCAGACTATCGTATTGAACCCGAGTTGACACTTTGTACGGCGACGACAGCAATGCAGGTGACAAGGCATGACTGAATGTGTCCGCCTAGCAGATTAAATGTTTGCGAAGCAGCTGAGCCTGACATCACTCTTTTCTGTGGAGAAGTGGTCAGCAGTGGTGTGATCTAGAGGTGACCGCGAGATAGCGCTACCGCTGGTGCTCCCAGCGCGACAAATGGCGAGATTGCCGGCCGTTTTTGAATAGTGCTAGATCCTAGTGATATAAATCAATAAAAGTGATAGTTATTCATCCCTCAGTTGCGTTTTAGCTCGTGAATCGCTGCTGCGGGGTCTATAGCTACTCGCTGACGCAAAAATTTTGGCATGAGTAAATTTGATGTCAGTGCTCTTTTTAAGAAGAAAATTTACACATAATGCAGATTTCGCTGGAAACACTGCAACAGTGTCGTCTGGAACAGTATGAACCAATGACCTTAGATGAGCTGGGAAGCCTCAAGTCATACCTCGAAGGATGCCTTCATGCCCTTGTTACTGTAAGTACAGATGTGTTCTCATTCAAGATAACTGTTTATGTTACTTCCAATAGCAGCCAGTGATATATCAGTCTAAAAATGTATGACATGCGAAAAAAAAGGAAGATCGATATCATTAAGTTTTAAATCTGTGAACAGCGGGTATTTAAGTGGAGGTTTGGCCAAGTAGCTTGAAGGGATGTAGAACTAAAATCTCTGATAATTTTATGTGAATATTCCACCTCCAGTGTGAGTTCTTGTGATGTCTAAGCTCCTTGCATCATTAGTTCAGTTCTAGTTGATTGTTTGTCAATGTGAAAAGAGCACCAGTGCATTCAGGAGTAACCATAGATCGAATTTAGAATAATTTGCCTTCGTACATCTGCTTTGTTCTCCGCCTCTATTGCATTGCCAGGATGTGTTTGAGTTTAGAGAAATGTACATAACATGTGTGAGCCTGCCTTGATATGTCTTTTAAGTACACTTCTCATTTTACCCTTCACCTTTCAAAATAAACGCAATAAAAAATTTGTTTCTCTCATTGACTGCCACAAAAATTTTGATGGTGTTACAAAGGTTGAACTTTCATTCACCGACCTACAGGAGGCTCGGGAGAAGAGCAAAGGCTGGGCAAATGTGCAGCACACTGACGTTGACTTGGCCTTCAAAAAGCCAGGGGACGGCCTTCCACTGCGGCTGTGGCGATGTGTTGTCGAGGTTGAAGCTCCCCCAGTTGAGCTTCTCACAAGGATTCTTCGTGAACGGTGAGTCTGCAGTGACAAACCGTCCAAGCCAGAGTTGCCAAGTATAGAAAGTATAAAAAATTGAATTGGATGCGTTGTGGAGCCTCCAATGACATGGCTGTTCAGACTTCTAAAGTTAAGGCTTTGAAGTTTGACCGCAGTTGAACAAGTTTCATAACTTTCAATAACTGTTGATTAAGGTGCACGAAATTTAACTATGAAAATCATTGTAATCTGAACTTGGATACCTTCAATGCTAGAGCACAATATAGTGAGGCTAGTCTAGCTGTGCTATTCGAGGAATTAGAGGGTGTTAAATAGGATGTAATAGTGCTCAGCGAAGTTAAGAAGACACGTGAGGCTTATACAGTGCTAAAGAACGGACACGTCTAATGCTACCGTGGATTAGTTGACAGAAAAGATCTAGGGGTGGGGTTTCTTATACACAAGAATATGGCTCGCAACATAGAGGAATACTTTAGCATCAGTGAGAGGGTGGCAAGTACCATAATTAAGTTTAACAAAAGGTACAAGATGAAGGTGGTACAGGCCTATGCCCCTACATCGAGCCATGATAATAATTTGATTGAATGCTTCTATGAAGACGTAGAGTCGGCCATTAATAAAGTAAGGACACAGTATGCTATTTTGGTGGGTGAAATTAATGCCAAAGTAGCCAAGAAACAGGCCAGAGACGATGGAGTGGCGGAATATGGCATCGACTCTAGAACTGCCAGAGGGTACCGCATTTACTCGCGTAATTCTCGCACCCCCCACATCGCCCAAGAAAAATACGATTTATTTTTTTTTCTCGAGTAATTATCGCACCCCCAAAAACTGCCGCAATAATGTCATCTGCTCGTTCCAGCCACTGATGATGATAGCGCCTGTCATATGGCGCCATCTCTGAAGCATCAAGCATACTATTGCACGCAGATTCAATTCAATCCAAGCCAAGCCGAAGTGGCCAGTGCGCATTGCAGGCGTTTTTCGTATGGTGTGTCGATAATCTTGGCACGTTATGGGGTGATACTGAAGCTACACGGCTTCTTCAAGTTGCAAGTGATAGATCATGCACTAAACGACGTAACAGGGCCGCCAGTAGGCCCTTCGGAGTCTACGAGTTTTGTGTTCGCTATTGGTGACGACAGCTGAAAGCCACCAAGGCGCGTTGGGCCTGCTGTGGGCCTAAAACTGGGATTGATGGTAAACTTTATTTCTTCAGAAGGAAACTGCGGACAATTCTGTTAAATGGACATCAGCCCAATACTGACGCCCTACACTTACCTTTTGAGGGCTCCTGTTGAGCTCCGACTGCTACCGCTACGCCCGCAACGCCCACAAGCTTCGCGTATGGTATTCTAATTCTCGACTATTTGCTTCTACCTTTTATGTTTCAAATAAATCTTGCCTTGTGTTGAACCTCTGCTTTTATTGTGTAGGTAAGTTCTAATTAGTACTTTGTAAAGCTTGCTGTAAGTTGCTGGTGTGAGAATCCCAATTTGTGGCCACTTAGTTTTTTTTTTTTTTCGCTCTCTGCGTTTTCGTGGAAAGTTTTCCCCGCGTAATTCTCGCACCCCCCAACTTTGCATCAGGTTTCCGGCAAAAAAAGTGCGAAGATTTTGCGAGTAAATACAGTACATAGGAAACCAGCTACCTGCTGCTAATAAAAATATAGAGTTTATAAATAAATCAGATGAACACGGCACATTTTTCTTTACTTGTGTAAGCTAAGCCCCTTTGGGATATTTTATTCGGGAAGCTTCGGGACTGAGGGGAAAATATCAAAACACGGAATAACGCATAGCCGCTTCACTGGCGAGCACTCCTGACGTTTGTTTCCGAGCTGTCTTAAACATCATCGGAGAAGCTGCTCAATTCACCGTCATTGTTATCTTCACTATTAGACTCAACATAAGCATCTGTATTGTAATCATCATCACTTAAAAAATATCACGAAAATCAAAAGCTTCTTTTTCGTGTTGAAGGGCCAGCTATGCACGAATTACTGCCACCACAGCGCGTCTTTTCATACAAAAACCGTGCTTTTGCCCCAAGAGAAAACTAAATCATCAAGCAAATGATGTCATCTAGGGCAGTGGTTCTCGGCCATGAATGTGTCGGGGACCCCTTGTTGACTGGTGGTAGTGATGGGGGACCCCTTATAGCAGAGGGTGGGGGTCCCTTAGGTAAATTAACATAACTGGAGTGTGAAACAGGTGCCTTTTATAGCTACCAAAAACATCAAACAAACGTACCACATCGCTTCATTTTGGACAGTTCATCAACACGTGGCACAGTCACGCTTAAAGAAAAATGGGGGTGAGGGTTTCGCGTATTATAGAAATAGCTTCGCGCACCCCCTAGGGTCCGCAGACACCCCTTTGAGAACCACTGATCTAGTGGATGACGTGCAATCTAAGCTTTCGATGAGCGCTTCTCTACCTGAATACTACAGAGGAGTCGTAGTCCACTAGAACGAGCTCCGCTTGTTCAGAGCAGTCTGGGCAGGACAAACTCTACTCATCCAAGGCACTTAAGGAGTTAAAGGGCAAAGCAACGCATGGGAAATTAAGAGCACATACAGCTATGTTTAAATACTACAAAACTGGGCCTTGATTACAGAGTGTTTAAGGAATCCTGCAGCTTGTCAAGATACTCTACAATGTTTTCATGATAAAAGGTGTGACTAGGTATCATCGCTCTACATAAAGTAGGAGACAATTTAAAATAGAAGCTTTCTTCTGGTTGGTTGACAGGCACATCTGGGACAACACACTTATCAAGTGGCGACACATTGCCAGGCTGGACAAGCAGAGCGAGGTCATCCAGTACATCTGTGGCTCTATGAGGCCGCATGCACCAAGGGACTTCTGCGTGCTAAGGTAAGCACAGTCAGCAAAATATTCTACATCTTGGCTTCACAGCACCCTGCATTTGCATATCTTTTTAAAATGTGAGCTTATAGGCAAAGGAACTTTTCCGTAATTATGTACAGTGTCTGCAATGGTTTTAACTAACATGGAAAAAATGAATGATTGTGTGATAATTTTTTAAACTAAGGCTGACATTCTCAAGTTTTGGGTGCTGTAATTGAATTTATGGGTGGCTTTTACGAAATATTTCTGTGTCGATTTTTCTTGCGGAGTCACACAGTTGTAAACATGATGTCTGTTATTGAAATTCTGGGATTTTAAACAAGTTTTACAGAAATTGAGGACTTGAAAGGGTACTGAACAAAGCTTTTGTCTCCGAGATCTATTGTTGGGCTAAAAAAAATTGGGTGCTAAAATCGGTAAACACAGCCTTCATTGCAGACAGAAACTGGCGGGAAGTGATGAGTCTAAAGTGTTTTTCACTAACTACCGTGCTGTGCATTAACAAAGCCGAAGTTTAATGCCACCTGAAATAAATGTGTCAACTATGGTAGACATCGCCTGCATCTCTCAACCCTCTCAACGCCCACCGCAGCATTCGGAACCACTATGAAGGAGAGTGAACAATGCTCCTGAGTGAAATAAAGTCCCTTAATGGTGGGGCATGTCTCAGTGCCTTTGTGGAAGAGAGAGAGGGCGACGTGAAGAAGGGATGGAGAAAGAGAAGTAGCCAGACAAAACAACCTGCACCCTGCATGTGTCATGGTGACTGCCATCATGGATCAGGCTGGTGTGCCACATGTTGACCACACTCATAAAGCTAACTGTTCAAAACTATGTGAAACAAGCTCTGTTTTTCAGAACAGGCTCATCTTCCAAGTATAATTTTTATGCCTTTGTAATTGCTTTGGGTTTATCATTTGTTGTCATTGCTCACCATTTCCTGCCATCACAGAGTAGCACTGTGCCGGCCTAGGCGACTTGTGGTGATTTCACTGGTTCTGTGGTAGGAATTCTTTAAGCTTTGACAAGTTTGAGAAACTTTGTGTTTTTATAGTGCATAGGTTGGAACACCTTTTCTTTTTGTTCAGTATTCTTCTAACTAAAAAAAGTCAGTTTTGCTGCAAGGGCTGATCAATGAATGTGATAGCAATCAATTTGAATGTCACATTAAGGACAGAGAGCAGATTGAATATAGAAGCATGCTGTTCAAATACAAAGAATGCACGAAAAAAACACACACAGGACAAGCACTAACAGCGTTCACAGCTCAACACCTAATGTGCTACTCAAACACAAAGGACGTATGAAATGTACGCACAGGTACACACAGAAATAGCGCCACAGTTGTTACTTCACTGTGTTTGAACAGCGCGCTTCTTTTGGAGACAGGGCCTCTGCAGCAAGCGAAGTGACTTTTGTGCGCTCTGTGACCTAAACCCAATCTGTCCGCGAAAGCAATCAATGAATAAACTTCTCCCATCTCAAGATCAGCACATGCCCGCCTGGGCATGGGTGACCAAGCACTATAGTGCAAAGGGTAGGTTGACGAGTTAATGCATATCGACAAGTGGGGCACTGAGCAGGTGCCAGACGCACGCTTTGCACTATCTCGCTGGTAATGCAGAGAACACACTAATATTGACCAGTGGCAAATGGTGTATATAAATAGCTCGCGGTTAGTATGCTGAAGGATGTGTGCTTCTATGGCTGAGCAGTTAACATTCCGTGTTGCAGAGCAAAAGGTTGCATTGACCATTCGATGCCACACGTTGGAAAATAATTTTCTGAATTATTTTTCTTTGTGGCTGTATAAATACAGTTTATTTGTGGCTTTATATATACAAAACACGCTGAACACACAGTGTATTGCAGTTTTTCGCCAAAATGGAAGAGAAAAAATAAATAAAATAAAAATGAATGAACTATCATAGTCGTAAAACAATAGCACCCTGAGAATAATAAAAAAAATTTTGTATTAGTTACTCAAGTTGCCACTAATAATATATAAATTATTTAGCGTGACACAGTTACACTTGGGTGCTTTAAATTTGAAGCACCCTCTAAGGCACACAATTTTTTTTGCGAATTAGAACGCCCTAATAACTACTACTCCTATTCACATATAAATGCACGATTTTTTTTTCAGCATGGTCGGAGATGTTCGAAAATTGACCCGGTATACTTCGTATGAAATGGCCGATAGTGTGTGTGTGGAAAACTGCCAGGCCCGTGCAGAATGCACAGAACAGTCACAGCAAAAGCTAGAAGAATGGCTTTTCTAGAGCCTTTTTTAATGATAAAAACATTCTTGGGGCAACTATTACAAATACACTTGCAGGGTACCCACTATGCCATAAACCAAATTTTGTGTTGTGGGGAAGCTTCCACTATGCCTGTATTCATCATCCTTCAGAAAAGCGTGATACCTACTGCACTCTTCCGAGTTCTGTGGTAGGCTTGTGCAAATAGTGAATTTTCGGTTTGAAGCAAATTCGAAGCAAATAGTGATTTTGGATGAATAACTTCAAATCGAATTCAAATACTATATATCACATACTGCCAAAAAAGATGGGCATATTTGTCATGACCTAACTAATATGCACAATATTTAAAAAAAAAAGGAACTGAAGTAAGGCCTGTGCAAATGTCTTTTTTTTTTTTTTTTCAAAGAAAGCAGGAAAAACTCCTGGAAGTTATGTTACATTCTGAAATTTACTATACTTCGAGCATAAAGCCCTTATAACAACTTTTTAAACTTAAAGCATGATGAGTCGATGAGTTTAGTCGATGCGAGGGTAGTATGTTCATTCAGCCTTGAAGTGGGGTTTCGCGGCAGTCGGATTTCTTTTTGGTAAGTGTTTTCACGGTTTAGGACTCCTTTACTGCTGTGAAACCACATTTACAGGAGGTTACATGTGAATTAGTACATTTAGACAAGTGTTTTCACAGTTTAGAATTACTTTTCTGCAACGAAACCACCTTTACAAGGGCTATATGCTCGCTAATATATATTTATTTGTTCATCTCGAATACTTCAAAATTTTCAATTATTTCAATTTGAATCAAAGCAAATTTGAATACTCGAATATTCATTCTAATATTTGCACAAGTATATTCTGAGGTCTTATGTTCACTTTGTTGATGCTGTGACTGACGAGGAGGAAGAATTATGCCTGAGGCTTTTGTAATGAGTTGGAGCATTCAACGACCCGCTCATTATGCAATTGGCATTTTGTGATGCATGTTTATTACTTTACTGTTCTAAACCACTTTATTAGACATGTTAACTTGATTCCTTAGCCGTCATGCAGCCTTCATATGGTCTGTTGGCAATGGAGTTGAGCACAAAACCAGACTGTGCGCATACAAAACTGTGTAAGTCCACATCTAGTCCTCAGCGCTCACAGTTTTTTTTTTTTTTTCACTCTCGCAAACTTCTTTCAAGGTGAGAGGGACGCGACAGCAACCAAGTTTGAACGTCTACGTTAGTATAACTCATCCTCTGACGAAGGGAGGTCCCCTCCCAAAACTGTTTGGAAATAAATATATTTATCCTTGTTGACAACGCTCTCGTCGTGTTATATCACACATCTTCACGAATACAAACTGGCCCATTGAAATAATACTCTCAGTGTGTGTGTATATGTATATATATATATATATATATATATATATATATATATATATATATATATATAATATACACACACACATATATACATACACAGGACGTGACAGCAATGGTTACGACAATGGCAAAAACCAGCTGAGAGTGACCATTTAAGTGTTGTCTCCATAAAATCTGCTTCGTATATTCGCTAGAGCATGGTCCATTCTTTTAAGTGCAACACATCCTGTCATGATCAGCAGTGTAGTTAAGAAAAGGAATTTTTTTCGCTCATAAATTTACATAGGAGCTGCAGTTTACTTGACTCTTTGTGCACATGTAGCTTGGACCTAGATTGACGTTCAAACTTCATAAATACTGCTACTCATAAAACACTTGTTTTTGATTAAATACAGCTCATGTTTGCCTTGAGTCTTTTTTAGCTAGACAAAGAAGGAATGCCATCAAATTATTACACGTAAATGGCAATGCTATTAGGTCTTTCACTATGCTGTGTAGTTACACATATCCCGAAGGAGTACGGCCACTAGCGTGGGTTCCGTCTTAGCGAGCCACAGGGCATGTGTTAGTCGTCGCCGTGGCGAGAACACGATACTGCTCAAGGTCGCAACACTCTATTGCCTGTGGCAACACCAAAACGCAGTACAGCCCGTTGCAAAGGCGCGGCGGGAAAGCAAATGGGCTTATCCTTGCCACGAGTGAAAAGTATTACACAGGGTGCCACGAGCACGTCTCCGTGGTTAAAGTGATTCACGGAGACACCGGGACCAAGGCCCGGTTGCTCGAGCGAAGGCAAAGCCGCTCGCGTTGGCTTCAGAGATATACGGGTCGGCGTAGCTTGGCCACGCACCAGGACGACGTACTGCCCTTCAGCCGAGCGTATGCAAAGGGGCAATGAAAGGTGTGTGTTCGCCTCGGGTGCCAGGCGCCGTCAGTGAAGTCCAACGAGCCTCAAACAACGGGAGTCGACGGACAGAAAAAGGAATGCATGCTCACTGTAAGCTGTCCCGGAGAATCTCTGACTCACTCCCCGACACTTGCAAGCGAAATGTCCCGAGAGACCCCGCGCGCGGCGCCACAGTTGACATCCGCTACTGGGTGAGAGGAGTTAAATGTCACTCCTTGCTCTCCCAGTGCGGCAGACAGCGGAGGAGGGGAGTCATGTCGGGACATGAGAACGCAGAAAAGGCGGCGGGCTAGCGTCAATTCCCACAGCTGTAAGATGAGATGAGCTAGGAAAAAATACAGGGACGTTAATTAGAAGCACACCTTGTTTGCAGGAAAAAGAGAGGTACAATAGACGAGAAAAACTGACAGAATTGTGCACATACTTACAGGAGCACACGAAATCTAGAGGTACTTGCAGAAATTTGTCAACTGTATCTAAACTAGCAGCACCTTCGTAGTCGTCTGCACCATAGAAACACCTGAAAACAATTTTAAGTTCAGTCAAGCCAAGTACCATTTCAAGAGGGTAGTGCTGGTGTCACAGCAAGTACTACTGCTTCGAGCATGCTCATTTGTCCCTTTGGTCCCTCAGGATTCTTGGCAGTTATCCATCTGAGTCTGCCTAGTGGCTCATTTAATATACCCTTATGAAACACCATTCAACGAATGCACGGCAGTGCACATGGGCATGTGTTAAGGATGATGAGCATTGTGCTGAATGTTTTTGCAGTGTCGGTAGTTTGATTTTCATATTACATTGCACAATTAGATTCCATTGATACAGAGTTAATTATTTGATCATTATTGTTTGTTCCTGTTTATACTGGGTGAATAAAAAGTTCCTTCTGCTTGCTCACTAACAGATTATTTTTCAAACTTTTTGGTCTGTTCGCAATTTCGAAACATTATTTGAAGTACTGCATTTGTGTTTTACAGGGCGTGGCATACGGAATTGACCAGGGGGTCCTGTGCCCTGGTGGAGCTCTCAGTCAATCATCCGGATGCCACTGTGCTCCTGCGTGGCGTCAGGGCAGCTGTGCTCGCTTCTCGTTATCTCATCGAGCCCTGTGGGGCGGGAAAGTCAAGGGTCACGCACATCAGCAGAGTTGATTTCAGGTGCCATTCCTGTTTCTTACCAAAATACAGACGAAAACATATACTTTTTCATTTTACCTGGAATTTTACCTCGGAGGGTCAAATATTTTACTACATGTCACCCCCAGGGCTATCTTTATTGCATATTTGAAATCTACTCCACAACATGTCTTGAAAAATATTTATTAACAGTTTTGGGATGACTATGAGCACTAGAAAAACTCATTCTATTTGGTTTTTATTATATTCAAAAACAGTTGAAAATGTAGAAGTGAAGGTGATTAATTCGTATTGGTGTCACTCCTGTGAAAGTATTATGTTGAGTGTAATCAAGAGTTTGCAAGAAGGGCTATTGGCATTGCTGTTGCATCTCGCTGCTGGAGGAGGAACTAACTTCATTTAGTAGCTTCTCAGATTGGAAAGGTTGCTTAAAAAATATTCATGTGCTTTTGGAGTGAACCACGGCAGATTTATGCGTTACCAAAGGAGAGCTTGTCATTGCACCATAAACAATTGGGTCGAAAAAAATCGATTTTTTGTCTCTTTAAAAAAAAAAGCACTAAGAGGAAGAGAAAATACATGATCCCACTTTACTACGAGACTTGGCAACATCTGTGCACAATGGGTGTCGCTTGACGTGCTGCTTCATGATGACGTTAGCTGTAAGACGATGTTTATCTCGAGGATCCTTTTCTCATACACAATGAGTTGCCTTATTTGTATGTAGACTGCAAATTTAGCAATTAGTGATGTAAAGCTGCCACGTAGTGCAAGGCAACTGGGAAGACAAGTTGCTTCAGCTGGAGCATTTAGGTACTTTCTGATTCAGCGCATAGGTTCAATGAGCGTCGAGCTCTTGCTATCTTGTCAACGTCAAGGTGTACATATCTGTGGCCATAACTTCACCGCTAATGGCACCATCAGATTGCCTATTATTATGCTTATCAGTGAGCAATCTCGAATACTCTTTGTGCGTATGCATAGTTCTTGGCATCAGCAGATCATCAGCTTAATAGAGAATAGAATCTGAACAAGCGGTATGGTTGTAGCACCTGGTGGAGCAGATCTCAACCATGCGCTTTCTACGTATGCCCCCTGATCTGCTTTGCCAGTAGTTCACTGCTGGAATGGATTGTAGAAGCCATAGAGTTTCATACAAGAAAATTAGAGGGAAATTTGTCATTATCGTATGAAACTCTATGGTGAAAGTCATGGAGAGGGAAGTACAGCAACCTGTTGAGTGTGCTGCCAGTTATGGCAGCACATTTCACAGGTGAAGGTCAACATGTCCTGCATTTTGCTAATAGGAAGGTGATCATCCTAGCGCCTTCTGACAGCAGACCAGACGAGCCGCCGCTCTGTGATGGCGAGTGTTTTCGGACAGCGGACAGCAAAGGATTAAAAATTAAAGCTTTGTTTATCTTTTAGTGTAAGAAATGTATGAACAATTTTGAACGGAAGTTCTTCATCATAACTTCATGCATATAATGTCAATGGACTTGGAGGCATGTTTACAGTGTGTCAGTGGTGTTTGACTCAACATGGCCACCACTTTCAGTTTTTGTGTGTTTAGCTTCTGGCCTTGCGATTTTAAGTCATGCTGCTTTGTGATGCCTGTAATGCGGCTCGCAACAGGAAGTGCTCTTCAAACACTCAAAGAAGAAAAAAGAATGCTTTTTAGAAGCTTAAATAAAATGCTTAATTTCAAAAATGTGCTGTCGTAGAAAAAACATAATGTCTCAAATAAATTGAACTGTTTTGTCTTGTGAAGTTTTGGCCTACATGATTAAGTAATTCGATGAAAGTCACTCCACTGATGATGCAGGTTTGTGCTGCAGGCTAACTGATGCAAGGAATATACGAGTTAATAGATAAGACACGAGAGTTTTGCAGCTTACAGTGAATAATAACCACATGTTCGAACTGCCTTGTACAGATTGCAGTTATATGAGTGGCAGAAGAAGGGTGTAAGGTCAAGGTATTGCAGGAAAATGTAAATAGAGGTGTGGTACTTGACACCAACAACTGAGAGTTAAAAACGAAGCTACAAGAAGCGGTGCACCTAATATTTTGAAAAATGTTAAAGAAAATGCATACAGTTTTAACTTGAAAACTGAGGTTTGCTTGCAATGTTGCTTTTCTAATGCCAAACTATCTGACATACTAAGAGTTGTGAACAACAACTGTTTTCTTTTCAGGGGTCGTACCCCGGACTGGTACAACAAGGTGTATGGCCATTTATGCGCCCTGCTGCTGGTCCGGCTTCGTGATTCCTTTGTTCAACGCACTGAGGGGCCCGAGACTAAGGTCTGACGCCCGTCAGGTCCCACCATCACTGTACATATCCCAGACACAGGCTTCTGGCCCACGGAGGGAGGAAGGCAGCACGCATATGCACACACAAATGTTGTGGTGTTCTTCAAGCACACTTGTTGCAGCGCTCGCAACAAGTTGGCCTACTTTAATGGCTCACCAGCTGTGGTGCTAAGCACGAGGTTGCAAGGTCAATACCCAGCCCTTATGATTGTGAGTATGTGTTAACGGATTCCATGTGGTTCATATTCATTTTGTGCTCCTCACCTGTGACATTTGCCGTAGGCTAGTTGGGTGTGAGCTGCCGTTACCAGTCAAACATCCCATAGGCCCTGTGTTTCAATTACTGGCGCATTCAATGGATCAATATGTGGAAGTCAGTGAATTTATATGTTGCCTGTATTGCTTCCGTAAACTAGCAGGTACAATCTTTCATAGATGCACATGCCATCAATACCACTTTCATATTGTTTCGACACAGCAACATGCACCCATCCTTGCAAAAACTGCTCCTCCGCTTTGTGTTCCGGCCAAACCGATGAGCAATTCAGTCGTACCCATGAGACTTTGTTGCCAGCACGATTGAAAAACTTTTGGCAGTTCATGGCCAGGTCCCACTGCTGAGGTATAAAAGCCACCTGTTTCCCTATGGGTACAGTTGAAGGGCAAGCTGCCAAGTGCCAAGTGGGCAATACAGGGCAGCCATGCTGATATTCAAGATCATGAATGCACAGAAGCTGAAAACTTTGAATCTGTGAATTGCATCCACCTGCACTATGTATCCTAGAGAGACAACTTTTCTGATAGATATTGGCCACAATGTCACTTAGCGTCTGGGATGAAAGTAGGCAGGCTTTCTAAATTTACAGTTCTTCCTAAAGTACCAAAGCCATCATCATTGTGCAGAGTTTGCCTGTGAAATGCACTATGAATGAAATTCAATTTCAATATTCAATGCTTCTCTTCAGGTCAGAATATTTTTTGTTAATAGTCATGCCAATACTGTATAAGTTTACCAGCTTTAAGTAGAACCAACGCTTCTACATTTCGTGGAGTTTTGCAATTCAGCTTGATATTGGTCTTGCTTATGTGAGTGCAGGTTACAATCAGAAGCATAACATGAGGCTGTTGTTTTCTCTTTTACCAAGCATGTGCTGTCCTTGGAAAAAAAACGGGATTCACCCAAAGGGAGACATTTGGCAAAATTATCAGGCTTTAACATAGCTGTGGTGGCTGGCCTGTAAATGGCTACAATTGTTTGAAATGAGAAATGTATCAGTGCATCACATGCAAGTTACTGTTTGTTATAGGCTGTTATCATGTGCATCTGAAAGTTTATCGAGATTTCTTGTTACTTTCATACGTATGTGTTGTGGCATGCTTATGGGAGACTTGTCCATTTGTGCAGCGAGAGTAATCGATTAAAACTTGGCACATATTAAGGCTGGTGGTATCCAGCTCAGATTGTTGCAGCATGTGTGATAGATGCCTTGCTATGTATAATACTGCTAGCCTGGCCTCCCTGCTTTTGACCAATATTGTTCAGGCCTGTTTTGAGGCAGTATACACTAGGCACCTGTGGTTGGTGTCTCGTGAATGCTTTTGCTCTGCTCAAGACATAATTTGACCAGTGTTCGTACCAGCATTTGACCTCTTGCCTACATTGGGCAGTTTACATACACATCAATACATGAGCTTATTTAAACGAGGTGGCATTTGTGCTTGACTTTGGAGGTATGATTTTGCACAAAAACCGACCAAGACATGACTACATTAGAACATATCTCTGCTCACAGTGTCACTCTTGCAGAGATATAGCATATCTGATAGCTTTTAATGAACTATTTTGTGTCTGATGAAATGTTTTTGAGAAATTTAAGCAGGTAATTATATCAAGTGGCAATTATTATCATTGAATGAGTATGTCAAGACATGGAAAGAAAAATGCAATGTCTCAGGTAGACCCAATGACATTTAACACATTACAATCCTCCATAACATTGCTCTTTTTTTTTGTGCACAATCACACTAACTGGGCATCAATTGTTTATTTTGCGAACAGGGACCAGGTTGTTGTTAGCTTCCTAGTCATTAACCAGTCTGACATGTCATGTAATGCTGTTGTAGAGGACACAAACAGCAGTTTACCAATTACCTAGTCAGGTGTGAATGAGTGTACAGATATTATATGCGCATAATATTTTTAACTTATTTCAGCGGTTGTATTATCCTAAACTGCAAGCTTTGAAGTACCTTGAAAAAGCATTGCTCTTGAAGCCTTGCTTCTCAATAGTATGAAGATTAAAAAAAAATTTCTAAGGTATATAAACCGTGAAATGACGAAGATGTTATGAGCTGGTTGACTACGAACATTACAAGAACGTAAGGTGTTGTGTGTGCATTAAGCATGTAAATTTCTTGTTGTACTATTGTGCAGTGTATATATTCAGCATGCTATGTTGAAAACAATCAGCAAATTTCATTCTGTAGAGGTAAAAGTATGAGTGAGAAATGCTATATATGTAAATAGCAGATTTATTCAGTGGTTACTTTTGAAAAAATAAAGAGAATCTATATATCTGTACCTGGAATCGAGTGCTTGGTAGTGAAATTATATGCTCTAATATATTGCCTGACACAAGTTCATGCAACATGGTTTATTTGACTGCGACATGACCTATTGCGGCTGTGATTCCATTTCTTGCTTCTTCTTCTTTAAGTAGTTCGTCACGAAGAATTCACCTGTTGAGAGAAGAAAAAATGGTTAGCCATATTTATCATTGCATTATAAAAGGGGAAGATATGACATCACTAGCTTTGCCTAGCTCTCCAGAGATCATTTCTCACAGCTGCACTGAAACAGCTGGTCTTGCTAAGAATAACAAGCCACGGACACTTATGCCGAGTGGCAAGGTGAGTAACCAACCACAGTGTATTAGCTTTTATCACACCCTTGTTTCACATATCAGGTGCAACACTGTGGCAGCAAAGCAAGAAGTTCAGTTAGCAGAACGTTCTACTCCGCGCTGCATCTCGTGTTTGGCTTTTATCGTCGCAAATGCATGTGCGAGCTTGGCACCAACCTCAAATTTCATTTGCAGCAACGGGCTGCAAATAAAAATAATTGAAAACAAATAGACTCTAGGTGATCAAGTCGCATAAGAACACACATTCATAAGGCACGAAAGATTGCCAATCACTACTCTCCGTAAAATCAGAAACAGAACCCTATTCTGGGTGGTAACAACATTGTACTATTTCTGAATGCAAACGCATCTTCTGAAAGAATTCTAGCATCCACAGCGTTGCACCTAATATGTGAAACTGAGTATAGTGCACACTTTTCTGATAACCTGTGACTTAAGTGCACTAAGCAGTGCAAAAATTAGGCTATTTCAGTGCTTTCCTATTTTTTGCGCAAACAAAGCCATCTACCACCAAACAAATTTGAACCAAAGATATAAAATGTTGAGTCACTTTAGAGCTTAAAACTGTGTATAAAGTTATCTTGTTAGCACCGAGAATTGTTCAATAATGAGATCTACAATGTTCACCAACTTGGTACTTTTTTGGGCTCAGTTAAGTCCCTATCGACACTTATTACAGCCTAAGCAGATATTGCTGGAATCGTATAGCATTTCTTGCTTTAATTACCTCGCAACAAACATTCAAGCATACTTCATCTCCAGACCAGGTTCACTTGAGTTTGGTGTAACCAAGATTATATTCATTATTATGAAGAACTGAAGCAAATTGCTTTTAATGTTTGGAATACTAACCAGCTTTGTACGATGAACGAACCAATGGCCCACTGGCAGTGTAAAGGAACCCAAGTTTATTTCCAAAGTCTTCCCAGTGCATGAACTTCTCAGGTGTTACATATTCCACCACCTGAAAACAGCGATATGTCTCCTTGAAAAATGTTTGAGGAAAACCTAAGTGCATCAAGAAAGCAATGCAAGTGCACTGCTTGTTAGCTTGTCTTCATATATTGCCATAAAGAGTGTAGAAAGTTTTCAAGCGATGTCCAGGAGTAAATGTTAACAAGACCTTTAGGTGCCTTTTTGTAGGCTGCATGTATTGACCCAATGTGAAGCAGTCGATGCCAGCATCGCGGACCGCTGGTAGGGGAGAAAGAAAAAAGATGGTTATCAAAAAAGTGCAAAATACAAATATTCAATTGTACAATCAAAACACAGTGAAGAAGCCTGTGCTGCACAGTTTATCTCTGTATATACTTTAATTTGGTGTGACTGAAGTGTGCATTGATCAAGGCCAAGTGAATTTACTACCGTAAGTTTCTAATCCGCTAAATCCTATTAGGATATGGGAAGCCTGGACAGTACTACTCTGAAATGTCAGCTGAAAGTAAAGTTTAAAAAATTATTTGCACTCGCCTTCCATGGTCCTTGCAACCTGGATATCGGTCTCTCCAAAACCAAGCATCAGTGAGGTTTTTGTTAGGACATTGCGGTTTACCTCTTTTGCATGCTTTAGCACCTTGAGACTTTGGTCAAAGTTGGCTCTTCTGTCTCTCACATACCTAATAGAACAAAGTCATTCAATGAAATTCGCCAGGCTGGAACACTTTCCTTGGGACAAAGCTTACATTGACATTTTGATAGCATTTCATGATAAAGGAGTCGTGACATTCAATTTTTCACTCATAATTCGTGTAGTGTGGGTTATTCCTTGTGTGTTCACAAACCAGCTGGTGAAATTTCAGCACTTTTACTCAAGCACTTAGATTGTAACGAACATTTTCATAAACATGTAAGCAGCCCGAGAGTCGAGACACCACTGGCGCACTCGCAAGCCGTGACGTAATAAGCTGCTTGTTTTGCGAGCGTCTGTATTCCAGCCAAAGATGTTGTTTTGGGGTCACCTGGTGCATACGATGGAGCTGTTACAGCTTTCTTCAGCTCCGTATAAAAAAGTGAAAGATAAAAAGATATAAATTGAAAGATGAAGAAAGACTCCACGAAAGACTCTATAAAGTACGTAACTTCACACACGCTATGGCAAAATGGCGGTCGCCAGCTTTGGGCAATGTTCATGGCTGGCAACTTCTAGAGCTCGTTTTGCAAGAAAATATTTTTTTGCTGTTCATTTTTTACATATGTACAGGCAAATTAGGACATTTACTTCTATTTACTGAAAACTGCAATTCGTTGGGTGAATGTGTCATGGCTCCTTTAAAAATTACAACAATTATCCACTGAATGCAGAATCGAGCAATTTAGCAGAATTAAGCAACAGCAGCACAAGGGTACGAACGACATTTACACTTTAGAATGTATTCCAAGAAGCTGCAAGGAGAGTGGTCGAAAATAAAACAATAATTTGATTCACATTCAGTATTTCTGCTTTGAATTTCGTTTATCACTCTATAGATTCTTCTGTATCACTCAAGAACAACAATGCTCACAATTTCGTGGTGAAGTCATATATGAATATGAAGTACCGCTTCAGCTTAAACACGACATGAAATCAGTCACTCATGCAAGGATGATATAGTACTAGCATAAGCCACTTACATTTGTAATTCAGGAACTGTTTCAATGTTATGTGCATACACATCAAGGCCTGAGCAAGCCACCTCTTCTACAGACTTGAGATCACCAGCAAAATCTCCAGTTAAGCATTCAATGAGGATAGATGGTTTCCTAAAAAAAGTCGAACAGCATCCAAACAAATGACAGAAGCAGGTTTTTTGTCTTTTGTTTTAAAAGGTGTCACTTCCACATGGTGAGAAAATTCAATTTCATTGCAACTTACTTTTGCTTAATTCTTCGAACTGTCTCTGCAAAATGGTTTGAGCCACCGTCGGGTAAATCTGAAACAGAACAGCTGTCTGGTGCACTTTCTACCAGAGTGGAAATCGTAGATTCCAAATAAATAATGGCCATTAGCTATGCAATCGTAGAAATGTGCACATGAAACCTTTGGAAGGTATGCATTTTGACAGATTTACTTGCCGTTCCAGTGAATCTTTGTGTGTAGAAAAGAAGCTCCTACAATTCCACAATTCTGCGATTAGAATCATGGATTATCTATCGCTAATGAATTCTGGGATGTGCATTCTATGATCATCTGTTTTTGCAAGAGAGAAGCTGAGGTGACTTTGAAATGTTGCAATTTAATATTTAACAAAGCATCAGATTGTAGCCGTTAAAGGAGCTCAGCAACATCCCCGAGCAAATCTGTTGGCCAGCATCAATAGCAGCAACGCAAGGCAGTGATTTCTTGCATCTTGCACGGTATTCATAATCACAAATGAGTGGCACTATGATCGGTAGGTAAAGCTTAATGTGACATTCAAGTTTATACAAGTACAGCAAAAAAAATCCTGCAGAATTACAATTTTCAACCATTCCAAGTATTACAAAGCCACAAATGCAACGTTGCAACCGCAAGGTTAGAAAACAGAAGTTCTGACTCGGCTCATCTATAATGAACAGATTATGCAATGCTAATTGATGCTTTGTGGAGCATTTTTTGGAACGGAAGACTTCCTGTTGAAGACATGTGCGAACAAGCCCTATTGTTATTAATGCCATTTGATAAAATGCCAAAAAGTTAAATATGGCTTCTGGAATCGTGACAACTACATTTGAAAGTAACTCTTAGCTTGCTTTTATATTGAAAATTTTCAAACAGATGCCTTGAATCTGGAAACATTCATTAAAATATTGACTTTTGTGCTTTCATATGCTGAAAAGATGTCTAAGTTTAGAATTATGCCCTCCGTGAAGCAATGCAAGGCCCAGTCAACTCCTCTTCAAAATTTTTATATTTAAGACCGCTGAATCCTTAGTGGCTGCTTAGTTACATAGGTGAAGAATAAATAATAAGAGAGTAGCAAAGTGAGTAGCTACTTTCCATGCCTGCAGATTTTCATTACAGGAGCAGATATGAATGATGGGTGGTGACCCATTAAGACCCTTTGGTTGACTCCTCCTGTAGCAGTGGCCTGTTAAGATTGCAGCTTATGGTCACTACATTACTGATTGTAAGGCAACTGTAATTTTAATTGCTTATTATTGTGTCCTTTATGTTCTTTGTCAGTGGCTCCTTCAGCAATACTGCTCGAAGCACAAAGGCTGACTTAGGTTACACCTCCAACCTTAGAGGCCAGTTGTGTATATCTAGAAGAATGGCAAAGGAGGACACACATCTTGTGATGGCGGCCATTCTATTAAAAAAAAAAATAGGTTTCCTTAATAATTATATAAAAATCAAAACCATGCTGTCAGAAAGAACAGAAGAAATTAAATATGCACTTCAGTGCCAAACCAGAGAGTTTAACCTAACAGCATTAAGCAACTCATTTCTAGATTATTTCTAGCTTATACACAATTCAGGGTCAACCGTAAAATGATAATACTCCGAATTTTTTTTTGTAAGTAGTACAGGTACATATTTTCTTTAGCTTTAGCTCAATTCTTTGTTCTATGTTCTTGATGATACTCTTTATTCTGGCACGTTACTGTTACATGCCACCAAGATCAGGTAAAAGGAAACAGACGTAACTGTTTTCTGACTACGCCTATATTCCAAGATTTACCCAGAGAATCTTTCTTGTAAAGCATGTTTATTTATTTATTCAAAATGCCTTACAGGCCGATTGAAGGGAAATGAGTAAGGGAGGCATCAGTAAATATATTGCAAAACAATGCAGACAAAAAGTAAAAAGAACAAGGGAAAAAACAGCAAACAAATGACAGATATGCAGTGATTGTTTTAAATACCACAATCATGGTGAAGGAATCAAATTCATATATCATTGTCAATGGCTTCCAACAAATCATCAGTATAAATAAGTACAGTAGATGATATGGATTCTTTGTTTAGTTGACATAGTACAGTGCAACGTATTGATCATTTGCAACACGCAAGAAGTAAATTGTAGCATTTCAGGAACTCTGTGCTCTTGGTACCTTTTGACATGAATTGCAGATTTCACTTTCGTACTTCGTTTCAGCTCTTTGGATTAGCTTCAGATTTCAGAGTTGGTTTTTCAGTGAGTGCATAATTAGTAACTGTCACGAAATTCAACTGTTATGTTCGAAAACTAAATCTTAAGAGGGTGACACTTGCAACGATTGTCACCCCCTAGCCTGAACACAACCACACGATTTAAGCCTCTGCTGAAGGGAACATTGTGACCACTAAGTTGACACTCCCCCCCCCCCCCCCCCATGATTTATGCCACTGCAGAAGGCAACCTTGTGACCACTGATTTAATTAATGCTTGATAGCACCAGAGCTTCAAGAAGTCAGCAAATGCGGCCCTACAAGCCATCAGTGCTTGAAAGATGGTTGGCCTGGACAACAGCAAGCACAGGAACTTTTTATGTAACCATGTAAGACACAGTCATGGTGATGTGGCATACTGTCAGCAAATTGTATCATATCCCGGTAGGCCATCTTTCATTGAATAATAGATGCAATGAACCAACATTAGAACTGCTAATGATAGGAGATTGCATATTTTCTTCACTTGTAGGCCATTACTGCAACAAGATGTTTAGATGCAGTTCAGGGCAGCTCTGTGTCATTTCTTTCTGTGTGTGAGAACATCTTCACGTGGACTGAGCAATGATAACAATTGTTGAGGTTTGATGCCCCAAAACCAAGATACAATTGTGAGGGATGTCGTTGTGAAGGGCTCCAGAAATTTATAACATTCGTGTTTTTAACATGCACTGATGTCGCAGAGCACACAAGCGTCTAGCATTTCAATCTATTGAAATGTGACATAATCTATGCAAGAAATATGCAAGCATACCATCTCTGTCAACTGATGTTATTACGACATACTCCAAGCCCCACTCTGCAATTGCTTCAGCTGTGTTCTCAGGTTCTTCAGGATCTGGCAAAGGTGGTCGACGGGCAGTTTTGACAGAACAAAACCTGCAGGCTCTTGTGCATGTGTCGCCCAAGACCTGCAAATGACAACAATTTTTGTTTTCTCCGACACACTTTTCGCGCAGACTTCATGCAACACACAGCAAACTGTTACACACCATGATTGTTGCTGTGGCAACATTATCTGGGCCTCCATTCCAGCAGGTTCCGATGTTCGGGCAACGTGCCTCTTCGCATACCTGGCGTTAACAAATACAGTGAATACAGCTCAACCCTCATGGCAGCGGTTTTGCATGGCGAAAGGGCACATATTACAAATGCCGCCTAACTCTACAATACTGAAGCGACAAGAGAAGACAAATGGTTCAGTCCGATTGTATCGATTAAAGTCGTGTAGGACAGTTATGACAAAAGCTAGCGATAGTTAAACGTGTGCCAGTCAAATCAACCGTAGTATGGCTATGTCGAAGCAGCGCGAAACGCAGAAATGTTTAGGTGTTTCGAACGAGGCGTATTTAGAAATGTTAGCAGAATCAGCGACCACTCACGGTGTGTAGTTTCTTGCCTCGCAGCGTTCCTTTCAATCGAGAAAAGTGGCTTCCTTTAGGAATGTCAACCTTCAGCCATGGCGGTAGCTTCAACCTTGATAGGTCATTTATGCATGCATAAAAAGCAATGATATAGACAGAAAATAGTGATTAGCGGAACCTATATATGCTCAAGCGGCAGTTTCTGTTCGCAGGTGTATACAGCAGAACAAAAAAAGAAAGGTAACCTTTCTGTTTCTCCCGGAGCACGCTTGAGCTTTCCCGTGTAGTCCTTGAATGTACTTCCTCTAGGAATCGCACCAGTAATAAAATCGGCCAGGCCTGGTCCCCTAGCAATTTCATCTCTCTGCTCGCTTGTCAGGCGGCTCTTGCAGCAGCGCGATGTCATTATGCACTGCGAGAAACCGAATTTCGGTCAAACAGCATCGCTACGAAGAAGAACAACGGACCAGTTCCACCAAAAATGAGAAAAGTAACGCACGACAAGGTCGATATCAAGAGGCGAAGCACTGAATTATCACGCACTTTCACAACAGTCATCGGTCACCTTGGCAAAATGTTATCTAAACCGCGTAAAAGCACTTACTGATCGCAGGCATTTCGACACCGCTGAAGCTTGATGACAATGCTTTAACATGTTGTAGCTGTACAGCGGCTTGACAAGTGTGACAACGAAAAGCGAAAGCTAATCAGTAGATCGCATTAGAAACTCGACCAGAACGCAAAGAAAATGATAGGATGGAGGCTGCCATTATTAGTGGCGATGTCAATGCGTAGAAGCAAAAAATTCGCGCCTGAGTGCCACTGGACCACTCGAATCTCGATGACTTTTTGCGTCATGTTATGCATTGAGTTAGTATTAACTGTATGATGTTATGCGTGTTTCTGTGCATGCCCTAAGAAAACCTAAACCACATTCTTAACAATAAAAGTGTGTTATTACCTAATGGTTCATACTATTACTTGTTTTCGCGTGACCACGCAAAAACCACAAAAAAGTGGTTTCATTCCTCTATGCAAATAACTTTTGCGAAGTTGAATTTACCGGCAACAAGAAGGTTTAAAAAAAATGTTGGAGTGAAAATTTTTGCTCACAAATAGCCGTGCCAACCATAAAACGGCGGCTGTGGTAGCCATCTTACTAGGGGCATATTGAGCTGTTAGTGTTTGGCGATTGAGAAGGAGCGTTTTCCTCACACGCCCAACGAGTTTAATGAAGCAACCTTTTCAAAACAGATAGTGCTCAAAGTGCGTTCTTGTGTTACTAGTTTTCTTTAGGAAGCCTTGAGTTCAAGGAAAATTTTATTGTAGATTGTCACCGTTACTAGTCTCTGCGAATTATTTTTTCGGAAACGACTATTTTTTAATTTACAATTAACGTAGCCTTTAGAGTAACAAATGAAAGGCGCTTGATGTCTAAGTGGGCACAACCAAAAAATGGCATGTTTTTGAGATCTTTGGAGGGCAAAAGCTGGCTTCACTACTGCTGGCAAAGCATTGAGAGAAATTCCGCTTCAGCATTTTTTTTTTGTTGTTGTTGTTATACCTCCTTGACCAGCAATGACCAACGTTTGAAAACTCGGCAAAAGTGTTCTGTTCTTTGACTCGGTGGTGTTGCGTAGCGCAGCCGCAAGCGGCTGCCTGGGAGAGTTGATGGCTGCGGTAGCTAGAAGTGGCGCTGCTGTCGCGCACCGAATTGCGTGTGCACACAGGTGAAGTTTCATCTGGGGACCTTAGGACCGTGCTATGCCGAGCTGCCCGAGCAGAGCGGTGTGTCGGCGGTGTCTCTACCGACACTCCAGCCAACGCGCGCTTGCGGCAGACGCCGATGGGCTCTCCCAGCCCACTTAGAGCTCTGGAGCGCTGGTTGGTGGGAAGCAGATTTTTCTATTACTCAAAGGAGTTCGCATGAAAAACTTCAAATTTCTCATGACGTTAACGCTATCTGAGCTTTGGAAGAGTAACTAAGTTAACTATCATATTAATGTTCGGAGTGCTACAGCAAATATCGAATTTTCTTGATTTTTGAGGATTTTGGACACATTTCTTGAAACACCCGGTGCACATGCGGACATTGTCGAGTGGTGCAACATTAATAAGGCAATATATTACTGCAATAGCATTACAAGGAGCTCATTTCACAGAAATACCGGTGTCGGCGACGTCGGTTTCAGCGAGAAGTTACCTTGGACGCTTGAAAAAAAAATCGAGAGTTGCAAATAAGATAAAGGATAAATATTTCGGTTTGAGTTTCAAGGGGCCTCGCCGTGGTGGACTAGTGGCTAAGGTACTCGGCTGCTGACCCGCAGGTCGCGGGATCGAATTCCGGCTGCGGCGGCTGCATTTCCGATGGAGGCGGAAATGTTGTAGGCCCGTGTGCTCAGATTTGGGCGCCCGTTGAAGAACCCCAGGTGGTCGAAATTTCCGGAGCCCTCCACTACGGCGTCTCTCATAATCATATGGTGGTTTTGGGACGTTAAACCCCACATATCAATCAATCAATGAGTTTCAAGGGAAATTTTTTTATGGTACCATAGGCTGTTTTTGACCAAGCGCAGTGTAGCAATTTATTTATTTATTTATTTATTTATTTATTTATTCAAAATACCTTACAGACCCAACAGGGCATTATGTAAGGGGAGCATAAAATAAATACATACACAAATTCGTACAATTTCCATACAAACAATAACATCAACTAATTGTCAATTATTATAAAGTCCTAACAGGAATAACAATGAGAAGATATTAATAATAATTTTAATAGGAATACAACGGCAATGAACATCAGATGAGTATACGCGTGAGATAATGACGTAAAACAAGTTTACAAAAAACAAGCACGAATTGTGAAAAGACTTTACATTATTCAAAATAAAACATCACTGAATAAAACACAACAGAACTGAATGGCATGTTAGTATTCAAACCATCAAACAAAATAAGTTTAAAGTAAGAAAAAAAAAAGCGAGATACTAGTAGTGAATAAACGCGTAGGTGCCGATTTCGATATGAATAAAACGAGCAGTTAATCCTGGAAATGGGAGAGTAGAAGGTGCCGGAATTTTTCCCGATTGCGTTCAGCTACGATTTCATCTGGAAGGCTGTTCCACATAAGATGTTTCTCACAAACGGCCACCACTGGAGTTAAGATCCTATCGCTTTATGTTATCCCACGCAGCTAAGTGTACTGGGTCTTCAGGGCCAATGATTAATCAGACCCGCTCGTTGTCAGGGTTGAAAAAAAAAACAAAAAAAAAAACAAAATAGGTGCTGTTTTTACGTCTCTCTTTCTGCAATGACATCGCGTTTTGTGAAGAGACAAAGAGCCAACAATTGCAGTGCGAGCGGCGGAAGTAAAGTGTATGCGCAACAAGGCTACCGAAGGGTAGCATGCACAGTATCTCTATTCGACGCGCGCTCACGCCATCTCACTGGTAATGCTGCCAACACGATAGTTCCCCTACGTGGCCATCGCCAGCGGTAAGTGGTAAATATAAATAGCTTGCCGTTTGAAAGTTGAAGGAGGTGCTACTTCATGGCTCGGGGTTCAATGCTGAAGGAGGTGCTATTTCATGGCTTTACGCCTCACACTCATAATTCAAAGGTCAGACGTTAAACCCCACGCGCCGGAGTCTCTTTTTCTTGATTGCTTTTCTTTACTGCGTTTCATATATATACATACGTATATTGTGAATGACGGCGATGCTGACGCCGGCGGCAAATACAGCCGAGAGTGTCCATATAATTGCCATCGCAAAAAAATAAACTTTAGCAAAGCCAGAATTTTCTTGTTGTCTTCAAATGCTA